GTTTGAGATGGTCGATCTTGGCATGATGAAGTTTTTTCTAGGTCTAGAAGTTAGACATGAGGAGTCGGGAATATTCATGTCTCAAGAAGTGTATGCAAAGGAGATCCTGAATAAGTTCAAGATGATCGATTGTAATTCGGTATCAACCCCGATGGAACCAGGGACGAAGCTTTCCAAATTTGATGGAGGAGATTGAGTTGATCCGAGTAGATATAGGAGTTTAGTTAGAAGTCTTCGTTGCCTCACAACTATTAAACCCAATTTATTGCTGAGTATTGGGATTGTTAGTCGATTTATGGAGAGTCTAAGCTACTCTCATTGAAAGGCACTGAAGCGAATCTTGAGGTATATCCGAGGTATACTATCACTCAAACTGTTGTACATGAGGTTGGACGATTATTGACTTACCGATTACTCGAACAGTGAATGGTGTGGAGATGTAGGCGACCGGAAAAATATGTCAGGGTATGTTTTCTTCATGGGTAACACGATGTTTACTTGGCTCTCGAAAAAGCAACTCATAGTAACATTGTCACCTTTGAAGTCGAGTACGTAGCTGCATCGTGGTGTGTGTCATACAGTGTAGCTTAGAAATTTGCTAAGCTCGATAGAAGAGAAACAACTCGATGCAACCGTAATTCTAGTTGATAACAAATCGGCTATTGAACTGGCAAAGAATCCGATCAATCATGAGAGGAGCAAACACATTGATGTGCATTTTCACTTCATCCAATAACACGTGAAGGAAGGAAATGTGGTATTTGTACATGTGGCAAATCGTGATCAAATTCATAATATTTTCACAAAACCACTACCTACTATGTTATTTGAGAACTGCAAGAAACTGTTCGAGATGAAGGATGGTAGGAGCTTGGGTGCTCTAGAAGATGGCAAGTCGAATCGGACTCAAAGAAAAATTGAAGATAACAAGTCGAGAGATCGGTATCAAACTAATCTCATTTTTTCTAAAGAAATTTAATTTAACGGAGGAGTTTTGTTGAATAAAATTAAATAATCAATTTTAAAATTTTGTTAGGATAAAAGATATTAAAAAATATTTAGGAGTCTATTACAATATTTTTTTTTATAGTTTTTATTTAATTTTAAAAATATCTTGAACTATATATAAATACGAATGTCTCGTTTGATGTATATCAGATAATATACAATTTTATATGAGAAGTGGTTTGTTATCACAGTTAACGAGAAGAGATACAATACAGGTTTATTTGTTTATGAAGCTCACTCTAACAAATGCTGTACTAATCGATATGGTGGAGAAGCTCAGAGCCAACAACTATTTATAGCCATTCTTCTGCCACTAAGACTGCATTCATGAGCCATATCACCACAGTACTGGTCACTAAAAGTTTGACCATTCAAGTGTGAAATATTTGTAACATATGGACCACATTAATTATGATGAGTTATATGACAAATACAGTAAATGATTCCATCCTCACCTGTGCAACATGCAGCTGTATTATCCAGAATAAGGTTTATTATATGCAGAGTTATTATAATTAATAGATGGAGTCATGAATACATGCTAAATTAGTTAAGTTATTAATAATTGTAATAAAGAAAAAGAAAAGGTTTAAGCATGTATATATATAAACGGACAGTGTACAAGCACTGTAGGTAATCCATTTCAGACATGATTTTGTACATCAATAGTAAGTTACTATAATTAGCGAGGTTTCTGATCTTTCTCCAATTTAAGGTGAAAAATAAGAAGATTCTCCTTGAGTTACAAACACAACTCCAAAGCACATGCTTAACGTAAATTGTTGAGAAATGTGAATGAAAGATGGTGGTGTTTGAAATTTGCAATCTCTCCAATCTTTATTTCCTTTCTTTTGTCATTGTTCCCTTGCTACTGCACTTGCTATTTGACGGTATTATATTGATAGTATTTGAAGAAAGTAGATTGTTGAGTTGGTAAATGCATAGCTTTATCTGGTTGAAGATAATAGACACAGTCAGCAATGGTGCCTTTTGACATTGGAATGTGGTGTCCTCCAAGACCGCGTGCATGACTTTGTGGTCACAGTTTGTCGTGCTGCTTTTATTGTTTTGGTGTACATCTGGGTGCTGCTTGACTTGGAGAGGTTTACTTCACTCTCGTTTCATTCTTCTGTTCTCATCAAACAAAAAATATTATTAATTATCACATTATACTTTTCAAAATATAATAAAGCATAATACTTTCCAGAATATGGATATATCCAATATTTTTAAAAATAAAGTTTTAACTATACCTTCAAATGGTAGTTCAACTTAAATATTTCTACGAAACAACACTTTCTAACAAGTATTTGAAATTCATTGGACAACAGTTCCCTTAATTAAATACTGAATAGTAAATTATCCTATTTGGTATTTTTATATTCTTATATATTTTTCATTCAATTATCTCACTTTAAGTAAAATAATATTTTCCTAACAATGAAAATGAAACGGACATCATAGTTGTGGTTGAGAATTGAACAACCCGTGATCTCTTAGAAGAAAATAAATACAGAGACATAATTATCATAAAAAATTGTAAAATCATCAAATTTCATTTTTTTTATTATAATAAAACATAGTGAGTGCATTCCTTTTTCCTTTGCAATCACGATTAAGACTTCTTCCTTATAAAACCATTGTAAAACTTCCACGTGTTATGGACTTTGGCCATACAATAATAACTAAGGATTAATGAAAACGAAAAATAATACGCATGGCTAGTTGTGCGTGGTAACTTATACAACAAACGAAAAGTTTTCATCAAAAATATATATAAAATAATTTAACAATAACACTCTTCTTGGTGACTTTTTGACTTTCTGAGGATCCACTTTCTATTTTTAAAAAACTATTTTTAATAACAATGTCATCATACTTGTTTGATTTTTAAAAATTTTATGTCGTTTTTGAGAATTTTATTTGTGAAGTTATTAGGGTTTACAAGAAACTGACATAATCCTTGGAAAAGAAGTGAATAATGAAAAGTGGTGTCTGATATAAATTAGCATTCAATTAGAACGATGTAGAAAATTGAACAATGTTGACCATTTTAATTTTTTAAATGAAAATTCAGCATAAGTGTACAAGACATTGCTATCTTAACATTACTACACGTAAAAATCTATGGAGTTATCAATGAAATTATCTTTAGTTGAAGCTCAATGAAACACATTAAGGTTACTCATAAAAAAGGAATAGAGAATATAAAAACTAAGTGTCCATCTATTTTTGTTTTGAAGTAAATTTTTATACATTTAATCGTACACGTTTCTTCAGTTTAAATAAATAAAAAGTAACACGGTTTTAGAAAGCACTTAATTTATTAGTCATATTTTTATTATCATCATTCATAGCAATCGATTAGCTCGAAGAGCTTCCTCCAACCTCTCTTTTGGGTTTGCTTTCAGTGTGTCATTTTCACTTTACCAGTTGCTCATATAATGATAAGTGTGCAATGAATCCAAAAAAAAAAAAAATTAAAAAAAAATGTCTTTTTTAAAACTTCATTTAAAAAAATTTATTGGTTCTTTGTTTTTACAAAACAAGTAACGAGAAAATGTTTCAATTTTTATTTCAAACCCATCATTTTGCATATTTTAATATTTTTGTCAAATTATTTTCTTTATTATTGTTATTATTATGGTTATTATGTCAACATCCTAATAGTTTTATCATATTTACTTTTAGTCTAATTTTATTTTAATTGAACAAATTATTGGATGATAAAAGTGAAACTTTCCAGCAGTACCAAAAGCTACCATCATTTGGAATAATTGATTTCTTTTCCACAAGAAAAGTAATTATTTTCAAATTTTTAAGACACCACGATATTTAAAATTGTTTAGATAGTAAATTAAGTTTCTACACTTTATAAATTTACATGCTAATAGGTCTATAATTTAAAATAAGCATAAAGTGGGAAACTAATATTTTAAAATTATTGAAGTAAAGTCACGGAATGAATTTAATGAGTTTGAGGTGATTTATTTATTTATTTTTTATTTTTTGCATATGATTGGTCGTAAAATCAAATCATCACTCTACATTGTGTTTTTGGAATAAAAAATCTAGTTCCAAAACTTCTAGATTGTTTAAATTCTTATATCATAAATTAACAATTTCCTATAAACACTTCATCTCTTCTGTTTTTAACTATAAAGTATTAGTGTTTTTTTTTTAAATTAAGGGTGTTTTATTATTTTTACTGTGTGGAAAACCTTAAACTACAATGACCAATTTAAAAGTAATTAATCATTATGTGAATCCATCAAATTATGTATGAATTAAAAGTAATATAAATTAAATGTATTATTTTAATGAATATGAATTTATTATAATGTCCATAAAATGAAATACTTTGATATTTTTATATTAAATGAAGATATACATTGAAAATAAATAGTATTTAATTTAACTACAGATTATGAAATGATTATTAATTATTAAGTACTTCAAGTCAATGAATTATCATGAACAAAATCAGCAGTGGAAAAGCAAAGCCAAATTCATAGTGCTTTCCATCATCACGTGCCACGTGGCGAGCGAGTGGGATACACATGCTAAGGATAGAGAGTGCGCCTATCACACCGCACAAAACTCGCACCCATTTCAGCTTAATAAACTAGATAGAGAAAAAGGAAAATTACGCACTTTCCGGGAAAAAAAATTGTCGCCAGAAAATAATGAAAAAGAGAAAATTCCCCCGGTCCCCTTTTTAGCTCGGAGAGAGAAATAAAAAAAAAATTAAAAAACGTTATTTTGAGAAAAAAAGCGACGACTTTTCCGATTACTATTTTGATTGTTCCACTCACGAATTGCGTTAGGGTTTCGTAATTTTGCACTCTTCCAAACCATTGTTACGGTGCTTTTTCGATCAATTTTCCTGGAAAGTTATAATCTTTTTGGGTTTCTGAGTTTTGGGTCGTTAAATCCAGAATTGATTTTGATGTCCTTGAAGAAGTTTCGGAAAGAGAGAGAAGGGGGAAAATATGATGGCTTCATCTTCTTCTTCTTCTTCAGCTACTGTCGCAGTGGAGAAGGCGACCAGCGATCTTCTTATGGGCCCTGATTGGACCATGAACATCGAAATTTGTGATTCCATCAATTCTAATCATTGGTAATCTTCAACTGCAAGAAAACGAGGACGATAGATAGCGTATCAATTTCGATAATATTTTCTATTTTATTTTATTTTATTTTGGAAGGGTTGACTTTGATCAACTACCACATGTTTATGCTTTTCAATGATGTACCATTTATGTTTGTTGGTTCTGTTATCGGATGGAATTTTGGGGCTAAAGTTGTTGTTGATTGTAGTTAGTGTTTTTTTTTTGTGTGTGATGAAACTGACATGGGGATTGTATTATTTGGAGAATAGTAGAAACTGGTTGTTCTTTTTTTCTACTTACATTAATTTATTTCTTCTTAAAAAAAAATACTGATGATTTTTAATTTTCTCGTGCATAAATGGTTTGCAAAATTGATAGTACATGGATGATAGTACAAACTATGCTTCCTTCACGTTTTTCTTTCACTTCTTTAATAGAGTAGTCTCTGGGAAATTTACTCTGTTCTTATAAGTTTGTACTGAATCTATGATGAATACCACATGTTTATTTCTCAGGCAGCCAAAAGATGTGGTAAGAGCTGTGAAGAGAAGATTACAACATAGGAGCTCTAGAGTTCAATTACTAGCTCTCACGGTACTTGTTGGCACTAGTTTTTGGTCTTACTTTTCTGTATTTCGCTCAAATTTTCTGTGGCTGTATTTCGCTCAAATTCATTTGTTTTGAACTTGATTTGTGGTTTCTGGTTGTCTACCCCCAGCTGCTGGAGACAATGGTAAAGAACTGTGGTGATTTTGTGCACTTTCAAATTGCTGAGAGGAACATACTGGAGGAGATGATCAAAATCGTAAGGAAGAAGGTAAGGTAGTTTTAGTTGGAAACATAAGATGTATTATTGATTTCTGTGTATTTGATGCATGAAGTAAACTGTCATTGATTTCTACATGGAAATTAATGGTTCTAAACGAGGTCAAATCATTATGACTAAACGTCAGTCATGTCGTGTATAGAGATAATTCCTCAAGAATCTGGAAAAGTTATATGTTACAAGTTTACCGTTTGTAAAATTGATTAGGTAATAAATTTTCTGAAATAATTAATCAAGTCTTCTGTTTGATTCAGCTGTCAAATCTTTCTTTCATTACTCTTGCTTTTACTAAAACCTAAATGTTTAGCTGTTGGCTCCCTTTCCAGTATTAATAATCCATGTTATATAAATAAATTATAAATTCAGTTCTTTTGAACAATAAATTGTTTAGAAGATGATATTAAAATCAAGGATTCAATTCATATTATTGACTATATTATGTCATATGCACTTGCAATCCTTTGACAGCGTGAAAATCGTTGCTGTTTCTTTCTATGGAAGGTGTTTAGTCCCAAAGTTACATGCAAAAGTCAAGATTTAATTATGTTATTATGACATCTGATGGTGTAATTGTTCTAAATGCACTTTGCCTAAATCAATTTATATCCAAATCAAGTCCGGTACCTACTGCTGTATATCATTAGTGACCAGTATGTTCTAATGTCCTGTGGAGATTTTCCTTAGTACATGATTCTAGATTAGATAGGTTACTCAATAATTGTATCAAAGTTATCTTTGAGTTAAATGTCTATGGGTGGTATTTCTCTTTCAAAAATAAGTTCTAATGTTAAGTTGAACAGTTATAGAATCCATCCGCATGTTCATACGTAAATACAAGTATTGTCTTGATAGGTATCAGAACAATCTCAATATGATCAAAATATGGATGGGTTTTACCACTGTTAAATTACTACTATTTCCAGCAAATTTTTTTTTTTTTTTTTTACTTGATTTGTCTCATCTAACATGAAATACATGTGATGATTATTTAGTCGGATATGCAAGTGAGGGATAAAATCTTGATATTGTTGGACTCATGGCAAGAGGCATTTGGAGGACCAGGTGGTAAACATCCTCAGTACTATTGGGCATATGAGGAGTTAAAGGTAGCTTTCTACTCAATAGAATGTCTTCATTGGTTTTAATCCATATCTTCATTGGTAGTTTTATGTGCAAAGTGGGATGTTAGATTTTCAAAACATTATATACTTGACATTTGTGACTATTCTGTAAATGGTACACAATCTGGCTCATCTTAAGGGTGAGATTCAAATTGTAAAAAGACGTATTTACTTATTTTAACATGTATACCAATTTGTCTTTTGTAACTGAATGTGTCACCTCAAAATAACTCATATAGATGCTTTGCCTAAAAATCTTAAGTGTTCTTGCAATTCTTTAGTGACAAATGAGTGAATTTTAACTTTTTCCACATATTTTATTCCTTCAACACCTCGGTGTGGAGAATTGTCTCCTGGCAAAACCCAACCATCATCCCGTTTATTGCAAATTTACATTTTCAAGTACTGGATAAAAGATTGCATTGATATCTGTAAGACATAGCCACACGTGAGTTGTAATTCAATGACCATCAGATTATACCATCATAACGTTGTGTTGGATTATATGAATGGCAGCGATCTGGAGTAGTTTTTCCAAAGCGATCACCAGACGCAGCTCCAATATTTACTCCTCCTCCTACCCATCCAAATTTAAGAAATATGCAAGCTGGATATGGGATGCCAACCAATTCATCAAAAACACTGGATGAAACAATGGCAACAGAGATAGAAAGTTTAAGGTTCTCTGCCTTTTTTTTTCCTTCTCACCCTTGCTTCCTCTGCTGTCCTTAGAGTCACAGAACTTCTGTGTGTTGGCAAATTTATATTTTAGCTAACTTTTCCAAAATTACTCAGTATGTCAAGCTTGGATTCCATGCAAGATGTTTTGGATCTTTTGAGTGATATGTTGCAGGCAGTGAATCCTAGTGATCGTGCAGTAAGTTAAACTGTTTTTCTTGGCCTTCATGATTCCTCCTTTCTACGAAGTGAAATGATTTAGTTTCTGAATTTTATGCTTTATAGGCTGTAAAAGATGAAGTTATTATTGATCTTGTTGATCGCTGTCGCATAAACCAGAAAAAGCTGATGCAGATGCTAACAACAACTGGGTTGGTTCCACTCGGCTTTTCAATCTGGCACACCCAAAATATACTTGTTTGTTACTTCGTGTCCGCAGATATGTGGAATAATTTGTTATCATTTTGGTTATGTCGTAGGGATGAGGAGCTTCTTGGACGAGGCCTGGAATTAAATGATAGTATTCAAAGTTTGCTTGCAAGGCATGATGCAATTGCTTCTGGTACTCCCTTTCCAATTCAAGGAGCAAGTTCCAGCACTGTGTCAACTGAAGTTCAGTCTAGTGTGGATCAATCCAATAGAAAGAGCTCCAGCCCTCGAGAGTCTTCTTCAGCACCTAAATCTAGTTCTTTAGCACCTAAAGCTAGCTCTTCCGCCATTGTCTTTTCTGAAACCAGGAGGCAGAGCGATGAAGAGGAAGAAGATGAATTTGCACAGCTAGCTCGGAGGTCACTTAGAACTGATAATATATTTAAAATTGATATTTTTGTGCTCATGGTTATTGAAACATATCTTTCTTTTCAGTCTTGCTTGCTTATAACTTATCCAAAAGATAAACTGGTTTAGAATGTATGTTTAGGTCTTTTTTGTGTATGGACATGAATGGATAGGCATGCGTGTAAATGAATTATCTACCCTTTATTTTTCAAGTAAAAATAGTTGCCTTAAGGATCTGTTTTCATTTTATACTTCAATTCATATGTTGTTTCTTTCTGGCCTATAACTACTTTTTAGAAGCCCGTATTTTATTATAATCATAGAATTTATTGTAAAGATGTATATCAACATGTATTGCAGGTAATGGGTAATGAAATTGTTCTATTATGTCAATAATTTCTTAGTCAATGTGAACTCTTTACTATTATTGCAGGCATTCTAAGGCTCAGGCAGTGACTTCAACTGATTCCAGCGAAAATTCAGTGTCAGTTAACACAAGCAGCTCAACTCCACATGTTCCAAACCCCTCAAGCTCAGTCCCATCCAATGCATTAGTTCTTTCCAACCCTCCTGCCCCCGTTTGTACTGCAAAGGATCAGGACATTATTGACTTACTGAGTATCACTTTGTCAATGTCACCGTCCCCACAGACAACTTATGAACCATCTTCACAAACAACTTATGAACCATCTTCACAAACAACTTATGCACCATCTCCACAGACAACATATGCACCATCAGCCTCTAGCCAAGGCATGCATCAGTTACCTGTTCAGTCCAGAACAGAAGGGTATTCTTATGCTTCACAAACATATCCCGGAAATTTGTCGTACAACAGTTACATTGTCCCTTGGGCTCAACATCAGTCTATTTCAGACGTTCAAACCCAGTCTCAACAACAGACGGATCAATCCCAATCTCAATCCCTAACCCCACCCTCATCTGGACAACTACGTACACATTATGAATCAAAACAACAGCATCATCAACCAACCCAACAGGGGCTGTCCCAGCCCCAGTCTGAGCAATTGCAATCACAACCCCTAACACAATCCCCACGTGCATTTCAGCAACAACTGCAACATCATCAGTATAGCCCTCAGCAACATTCGCAACCTCATAGTGAACCGCAAGCACTAGAGTATCAGCCACAACACCAAACACTGCAATCTCAACCCCAACTCAATCCGCACTCACATCCTCAACCCCAACTCAATCCGCACTCACATCCTCGACCCCAACCTCATTCGCAGTCCCATCCTCAACCCCAGCTACAGTATCAGCCCCAAACCGTACTTGGTCTGCAGCCTCAACCACAGCAACAATTTCAGAATCAACATGTTCAATACCCTGCAAGATATCCTCCCCCACCATGGGCAGCTACACCTGGATATGCCAATTATCAAAATCATTCGCCTGCTACAAATGTGATTTCAACTCAAGCAAATACAACAGTATCTTATCCTTCTGCTCCAGGGGTTAGGCCCATACTAAATAATTCATTCACCTCCAGAGGAGGCATTGGTGGAACTCCTGCAAGTGCAACTGGACAGAAGACTTTTATTCCATCTTACAGGTTATTTGAAGATTTGAATGTTTTCGGAAACACAGATGGAAAGGTAAAGATGACCAGCAGTGGTTCATCATCCAGCTTGTCAGGGACAATGGGGCCTGGTATGGTTGGGGGACGTAAGTGAGGTGTTTCTTTCATTCATGTGTAAAAATATGTGTTGATATACTGTAAAAAATGGAACCAGCAGTATTCTTATCAGCTTCTAATTTTTGTAAGCTTTCTAGATTGATACAAGTGACCCCCTTCCTATTTTATAAGTGGATCAGAAGTCTTTTGTTTGAGTGTTACCTCAGACGACAGACTTTGAACATTCTCTGCTGTAATATTTTAGTTTCTGGTAGTGGTTCTCTTACTTATGTTCATTCATTGATCGTTAACCACTATAAATGCAGATGCGTGTCCAATGTCAGTAACTATTGAGAACATACACCCTTGTAAGATAGGCAGTCAAATCACGTGACATGTAGTTAATATACAAAATACCATAAATATAGACAAGTCTGATGTGAATAGATTTAAGATTCAGTGCATTGATAAATTGCACTTAAATTTGATTCTGGATTTTCATTGCAGAATATTCTATCTTCGTACACGAGGCGTTCATGAATTTGCTTTTTAATGTAGATAGTCGCAGTTCCAACTACCTATGACTTGAAACTAGTGAATTTGGATCAGCTTAATTTTAGATTCTTGAGGCACTCAGACATAATAAACTCACGTGACTCTATATTTTGGGTTTTGGGATATTCATATCCAGTTTCAATCCCTAGTTGGATAGTTTTCTCAAGATATTTTTATATTATTCTAGAAAGTGGTATTAAAACCTCTTCTCCGTTTATTAAGAAAAAAAGTCATTATCTGTGCACAAAGGGTAATTGGAAATCGATGGTTGCTTTGTGGTGCATGTGGGAAATTGTAGATATCATGTTCACGTCAATGTTAGCCGGAAGAGTTGTGGTGATTGTTTTTTAGCATCGCCCAGGGTACACGGGTGTGCGCATCACATTTTCTGAGTTACTTTTATTGTATCTGCTTGATATTAGTTTTGCTGCAATAGAAAAATTTATACATTTTTTTTAAATAATTCATTTTCTTTTTCTCTTTAGTTTTTATTCATATTTTAAAATTATTTAACGAAACAATTAACATAAAATTGTAAGTAATTTTTATATCATTAAAGATTCTTCTAATAACTAAAAGTTATGTTAAGTAACTAGTGTTTATTTAATATTTTAATAAATCATTCCTAAAGTTGTTATAAAGGAATTGGCATATGAAATTGGATATTTGAGATTTTAATTCTATTATCCGCTCTTAATCATCTTTTGGAGTAAAGTTATTAGAAATATATTGTTTTTGAGACTTCATACTTGATGATAGAGGTGATGTTTGAGAAATCTTTAGCTTCACTGAATATGATTTTTCAACCATTTCCTTTTAACAAAAAACAAGTAAACTAAGTCAAAATAATGCATGAAATGTTGGATTTATATAAATTATTATATAATTTAGTATTTTCTATTCGTTATGAATTAACATTAATCAATAAATTAATTATTTATAATTATTAATTATATTACACATCATTATTATTTTATAAATAATAACTTAATTTGAGTTTTTGATGAACAGATTCGTGATGGGTTGGAAAATCAGTTACTTATTAAGAGATCATTGGTCTCTGCTAGTAGGTGTATAAAGCTGATACCCCATTAGTCGGTTTTAAGAGAGACAATACAAAAACATTTTTCACAAGTACGTTCAATAGTAACGTATCGGAAAGATAAAAGTATTCTCTCATACGCGCTCTATGGATCCTTCAACGATTCCGGTACACAATCTTTCTACTCTCTTGAATATATTATGTTTATTGTATTTTATATTGTTATATGAATTAATCAATTGGTAACAGAGCGTGTATGAGAGAATATTGTTTTCTTTCCGATAGGTTATTAGTAGTGTTTTTAAGTTGTCTCTCTTAAAGCTGACTAATGGGGTCGATGCGGATCTTCTTGGGAGTGAGGGGCCGTGGCCCCCCAAAGTTTTGTAACTCCCATATGATTTATGATTTTGGCCCCCCCCCCAAACTTAATGAACATTTAATATATTTGCTTGTATATTTACAATTTTATCCTCCCCGCCCTCCTCAGCTTTTGTAACTCTCATATAATTTATGATTTTGTTCCCCCAAAACTTAATGATCATTTAATATATTTAAGTATATATTTACAATTTTATCCTTTCACCATTTCATCTTCTTATTTCATTTCATTTTATATTTATTTATTATTTATTAATAATATATTATTTGACCCTCCAAGATCAATGGTCAAGATTCGCCATCGAATGGGGTATCAGTTTTATACACCTACCGACGAGATATCACGAATTTTTCAATAAATTCTAAACAATCTAACTCATCACAGACCGTTCATCAACCCAAATTAAGGTATTATTTATAAAATAATAATAATGTGTAATATAATTGATAATTACAAATAAATAATTTATTGATTAAAGGTAATCCATAACAAATAGAGAATAATAATTTATATAAATATAGTATTCCACGCAATTTCGACCAAACACAACGTGCAAAACCATGTCCATGGAACCGCACATGCACGAACGCAGCAAACCACCAATGGCATCACCGGCGATGAAAAATGAAGGTCGTTTAGTCGCTGAAAACATGCATCGTCGATCACCACTGCGACGTCGTTGTTGTTAACCAGCAGCACAAAACACAGATCCACCATGAACGAACGACTCACCACCATGAGAACAAGACGCAAATAACCACCACAACACGTCCTTTCGCTATCGCACTACCGTGAGCAAACCATTACCGTTAACCTCCGCGAGTGTGAACGACGCCAAAAATCCCAAATTCAGGAACTTAAATGAGAAAGTTAAATTTGCCAATTTTCATGCCTTTTGATAATGAACCATTATTAAAATTTATGATACATTCTCCACAAAAAACAATGAACAATTATATTGTGCATCTTAGTAGCTCTGATACCAATTGATTAATTCATATTGTTAGATATTGTTTAGATATTGTTTAGATATAGTTTGATATTGTTAAGATATTGTTAGATATTGTTAACCACAATATCAAATAATATCTTCTGTTTATTCTGTTTACTTTCGGTTACTCTTTTAGTTGTACCTCTCTATTATAAATAGATTACCCTATGTGTGATTTATACACAAGGGAAATTAATTTCAAACCCTATTTCCTCTATATTCAACATGGTATCTAGAGCTTAAGGTTATCTTGAATTTTATTTTATTTTTCGCCTTTTGTCCACTACTTGAGCCACCCCACCGCTGCTAGAGCCGCCCCACCGCTGCTGGTAAACTGATCCTCCATATCAGAAAAGAATTATCTTTGTTACTGAATTTTATTTGGTAGTGTGAAAGTCCATGTCTAAGAAAGTTCTGGCAAGGAAAGACTTGGTATTTAAGTGTGTCCATTAGTGACCCACCTCTCTTTCCTGGGAACTTACCTGGTGCACTGGTTCACGTTGCTGTCATCGCTGCCGCTGGAGCAGTCACCGGATCCGCCGCTGCCGGAGAATTCGTCGGAGTTTCATTTTTTTTTTACCGGTGACATATGATTTTGCTTGTCTCGGTCAGGTGACCACCGTGCCGTTGAGATCACCACTATCGGAGTTGGTCGTCCCGTTGTCTCCTGTGCCGTTTAGTCTTGGCGAACTTATTTTGGATTTGTGCTTCGTGGGTTAACTGGATTACTTTAGATTGTTTTAGGGTTTGTTCTCCCGCTCTTCATGACTTCTTCCACTTCTACTATTTCCAATTTTGTTAATGATTCTTTTGTGTTGACATCCCATCATGATGACTGGACTCGCCCTCGCAAACAGGGAAAAAGGCGTCCTAAGTGTGAACATTGTGGCAAGTTAGGTCACAATATTAACAAGTATTATACATTACATGGTCGTCTTCCTCGATCTGCTGCAGTTGTTCAGACCAATCTTTCCCCACCTTTATCTGCTGGGGATCCTCCTTCTTCTTTTGCATCCAACATGCCTGCTATGTTCAACAAATTTCTCGAATGGTATAAGGATCAACAGTCTTCTAGTTCCACTATATCTGTCACACATACAAATACATATTTTGCTGGTCTGACCCAATCATTTTCTCCTGGTCCTTGGGTTTTTGATTCAGGAGCCACTGATCATATTACTGGTAACAAATCTTTGTTCTCCTCTTTATCCTCTCCTAATCATTTACCTTCTGTTACACTGGCTCGATGGCTCTAGAGTATCATCTCATGGTGTTGGAACGGTTAAACTTTTTCCTTCTTTAACCATTGATAATGTTTTTTATGTCCCTGGGTCTCCTTCTAACCTGTTGTCCATCAGTCGTCTAACTCGTTTTCTTGATTGTGTTGTTACTTTTACCAACAATTCTGTGTGTTTACAGGATTGGAGTTCGAAACAGGTGATTGGTACAAGATGTGAGTCTCATGGTCTTTATTATCTTCGTCCCTCTACACATGTTGGTACAGTTATGGAGTCTCCCTCTCTTCTTCATGCTCAGTTAGGTCATCCAAGTCTTGCCAAGTTACAGAAACTTGTCCCTGCCTTGTCCAACTTACCTAGTTTGGCGTGTGAGTCATGTCAATTAGGCAAGCATAGTCGTACTTCCTTTCCTCGTAGTTTCACACGTGGTGCTTCGTCCCCTTTTGTCGTGGTTCACTCTGACATTTGGGGACCTAACCGCGTTAAGTCTACTTTAGGTTTTCAATACTTTGTTACTTTCATTGATGATTATTCCAGATGCACTTGGTTATTTTTGATGAAAAATCATTCTGAATTATTTCATATCTTTCAAACTTTTTTTAATGAAATTCAAACTCAGTTCGGTGTTTCTATTAGAGTTTTGCGTAGTGATAATGGTCGTGAATATCTTTCTCATTCTTTTAAAAAATTCATGGATTCTCACGGTATTTTGCATCAAACTTCTTGTGCTTATACACCTCAACAAAATGGTGTAGCTGAACGTAAAAATAGACATCTTATTGAAACAACTCGCACACTTTTAATTCATGGAGATGTTCCTCAACATTTTTGGGGTGATGCTCTTCTTACTGCATGTTATATCATTAATCGCATGCATTCTTCGGTTTTAGATAATAAAATACCTCATTCCATTTTATTCCCTCATGAACCACTTCATCATTTACCTCTGAGAGTTTTCGGGTCTACATGTTTTGTTCATAATTTCAGTTCTGGTCTTGATAAGCTTTCTCCTAGATCACATAAAAGTGTTTTCTTAGGGTTTACAAGATCACAAAAAGGATACAAATGTTTTTCTCCTTCTCTTAATCGTTATTTTGTGTCAAAAGATGTCACCTTTGATGAGTTGTCTCTTTATTTTAAAAGTCAATATTCACCTCTGTCTCCATCCAATCTTGTCAACACTCCTAATACATTTAATGTTCCTGTTGTTTGTGACCCTCTAACTGTGTCTTCTTCACCATTAATTCCTGCTCCGCAGTTAGCTTCTTCTCCACTGCCTCTTCAGATTTATAGTTCTCGAAACCAATCACAACCACCACCATGTGACTCCACTCAAGTGTCAACTACTCTGTCTCCTCCAGATCTGACACATGAGTCTGACCTTCCCATTGCCCTCCGAAAAGGTATTCGTTCTACACGTAATCCCTCTCCCCATTATATTACTTTGAGTTATCATCGACTGTCATTACCTTTTTATACATATATTTCCTCTATTTCTTCTGTGACAATTCCAAAAACTGTCCGTGAAGCTTTAGCCCATCCTGGTTGGCGTCAGGCCATGTTAGATGAACTAAGTGCTCTTCATAATAGTGGAACTTAGGAATTGGTCCTGTTACCATCTGGAAAATATGTTGTTGGTTGCAGGTGGATGTTTGCTATCAAAGTTGGACCTGATGGTACTATTGATCGCTTCAAAGCTCGTCTTGTGGCCAAAGGTTATACTTAAATTTTTGGGTTGGATTATGGAGATACCTTTTCCCCTGTGGCAAAGATGGTTTCTGTTCGTTTATTTATCGCCATGGCTGCTCTTCAACAATGGCATTTTTATCAACTGGATGTTAAAAATGTTTTCCTCAATGGTGATTTGAAAGAAGAAATATATATGGAGCAACCTCCTAGGTTTGTTGCTCAGGGGGAGTCTTCTGGGATGGTATGTCGTCTTCGCAAATCCCTATATGGCCTAAAACAATCTCCTAGGGCTTGGTTTGGAAAGCTTAGCAAGGTTGTTCAACAATTTGGTATGACTCGGTGTGAAGTAGATCATTCTGTCTTTTATCGACACTCAAGTGTTGGATGTGTTTACTTGATAGTATATGTTGATGACATCGTTCTTACAGGTAGTGACAACCATGTCATCTCTCAGTTGAAATAACATCTCTGTCACCATTTTCAGACCAAAGATCTTGGCAAACTTAGATATTTCTTGGGTATTGAAGTGACACAGTCCAATGATGGTATTGTTATATCTCAGAGGAAGTATGCCATAGATATTTTGGAGGAAACTGGGTTGATGAGTTCAAAGTCTGTTGATACACCCATGGATCCCAATACTAAACTTCTACCAAATCAGGGGGAGCCTATATCTGATCCTGAGCAGTATAAAAGATTGGTTGAAAAATTGAATTATCTTACAGTTACTCGTCCTGACATTTTCTTTGCAGTCAGTGTGGTAAGTCAATTTCTTAATTCACCATGTGAAGATCATTGGAATGCAGTCATTCGTATCTTGAAGTATATTAAAGGATCTCCTGGAAAAGGATTGTTATATGGTTCTAATAACCATACAAGAGTTGTTTGCTACTCAGATGTTGATTGGGCAGGATCTCCTTCGGATAGAAGATCTACATCTGGATATTATGTCTCCATTGGTGGTAACTTGATCTCATGGAAAAGTAAGAAACAAAGTGTTGTGGCAAGATCCAGTGCAAAAGCAGAATATAGAGCTATGGCCTCAGCTGCCTGTGAACTTGTTTGGCTCAAACAATTGCTTAGAGAATTACAATTTGGAGATGTCACTCAAATGACACTTGTGTGTGACAATCAGGTTGCTCTTCATATTAATTCTAATCCTGTCTTTCATGAGAGGACCAAACACATTGAGATTGATTGTCATTTCATTCGAGAAAAGATTATGTCTGAAGATATCAAGACTGAGTTTGTTAACTCAAGTGATCAATTAGCAGATATTTTCACTAAGTCTTTACAGAGGCCTAGAATTGATTATATTTGTAACAAGTTTGGCACATACGATTTGTATGTTCCAGCTTGAGGATGAGTGTTAAATATTGTTTAGATATAGTTTGATATTGTTAGATATTGTTAACCACAATATCAAACAATATCTTCTATTTATTCTGTTTACTTTCAGTTACTCTTTTAGTTGTACCTCTCTATTATAAATAGATTACCCTATGTGTGATTTATACACAAGGGAGATTAATTTCAAACCCTATTTCTTCTATATTCAACACATATAACAATATAAGATACAATAAACATAATATCTTCAAGAGAGTAGGAAGATTATGTACCAAAAATCGTTAAAGGATTCATAGACCGCATATGAGAGAATATTGCTCTCTTTCTGATAGGTTCACTGATAGGTTACTATTGAATGTACTATGAATAGTGTTTTTTTTTACGTAAAACTGATTAATGGGGTATTAGTTTTGTACACCTACCAGAGACCAAAGATCTCTCAATAAGTAACTAATTCTAAACAATTCAACCTATCACGGACCGTTCATCAAAAAGTCAAATTAAGTTATTATTTATAAAACAATAATGATGTGTAATATAATTGATAATTATAAATAATTAATTTATTGATTAATGTTAATTCATAACAAATAGAGAACAATTATATAATAATTTATATAAATGCAACATTTCACGCAACTCGGACAAAACACAACGTGCAAACCCACGTCCATGGAACCGCACATGCACGAACGTAGCAAATCACCAATGGTATCATCGGCGACGAAAAACGAAGGTCGTTTAATTGCTGAAAATGCGCATTGTCGATCACCACTGTGACATTGTTGCTATCAACCAGCAGCACAAAACACAAATCCACCATGAACGAAGGGCCCACCACCACGAGAACCAGGCGTACCTCCACGAGAAGACGACGCACGTCTCGACGGGGTGACCAACGCATATCATTGCATGCCACCATGACGGAGATACCAACGCCGCGATGAACCACTTTGTGCCACTAGGCAACGGTTCAAACGTCATTGCTCTACCGCCGCAAACAAGACGCAAACAACCACTGCAACGCGTCCTTTCGCTATCGCACTACTATAAGCAAACCATCACCGATGACCTCCACGAGTGCGAACGACGCCAAAAATCCCAGATTCACGAACTTAAACGAGAAAGTTAAATTTACCAAATTTCATGTGTTTTGATAATGAACAATTATTAAAATTTATGATACATGAAAATCTTAATTACTCTAGTTATTATTTTATTACTTTTCATTTCTTTATTAAATTTCATGATTAAGAATGTAAAACCAAAACGTATAAAAATATATCTTTCATATAATAATTATAAAAAATATTTGAAGTAATGAAAATAAATTTCAATAAATCCTTAAGCTCTAATATGACCTTGGAGTGTATAGAGAAAAAATAAACCTTCGTTACTAAATAAACATGATCTTGTTAAAATTAATGTTTTTAGAATGAGATTGATTCAAGATTAACCCAGTTTAATAGATTATAATTAGATTCAAGAAAATAATATTTTATAAAATAATAAGTATATAATAAATTTATTATTAATAATAATTTTTTTATAAAAATAAATAAAAATTATTATCATGATTATTATAAATTATAATGAAAATTATATATATAAAATATATTAAAAAATATAAATTAATTAATTATTAAAATAAGATAAAATATAAATATTATTTAAAATTAACATAATTAATATGAGATAAAAATAAATAAATAAAAAATATATTTTTTATAAAAAAAATAAAAAATAAGATTTTTAAATTCTTTTTTATTAAAATTGGTTTAACCTACATATTCATTTGTTTTTTTTATTTGATAATGATTTTAAAATCCAGTTATCTAAAAACAATAAAAATTTGTTGCTAAGCTAATTTCTAGTTAAACTGATTAGTCTAATCTAGTTCGATCTTAAAAAAACTAGTTAATCAAATGTATATAAATATATCTTATTTATAAGATTTAAGGATACATTAAATATTATTAGATAAAATATGATTTTCATTCAATAATTACTTTGTGTTTAGTATAATTAATTTTTTTCTTGATTTTCATATATTATAAATTATTTTATTATGTCACATTGATCATTTTACTCATATGTATAACATGTGAATTTGAGTATTGTTAAACCATCTATAACCTATATAGAAATAATTCATCATATTGAAAATTGTTTGAATTGAACTTTATTAGTGAATATTTAAAATTAATTATCTTTCATGAAATCAAACTTTTCTATAACTAAAATTATAAATATTATTTTACTTGTTAGTTTGATAGTCTTACGATTTTTTTATATCATTTATGAATCTTAATTTATATTTATTTTTATTTCTCAATCCACTATAAAATTATTATAGACAAAAATTTTAAAACAGACAATATTTTAAACATAGAAATGAATTTTAATGATATTATTATAATAAATATAATATTAATATACTTTTATTTTTATATAAAATATTGATGTTATGGTGGAACTACCATAGGAATCTTATTCTACTTATATCTCATAATCCCCTATTTTTAATATTAAAGATGGAAAATTTAATAAAATAATTGATATTATATAAAATTAAGACAAAATATTTTTATTATATTTATTATAAAATAAGAAAATAATAAAAACATTGATAAAAAAACTTATAAGTTTATTAAATAAAAATTAATTTTATCTTAATTTATATAATCTAATCTAAAAGATAAATATTTTAAATAAAAGATATTAAATTTTAATAGTTAAGTGAATTGAATCATTAATAGAATGGATGTAGCAGAAATTATTGATCGTAATTTGTATTATTCCTTTTTAATTATAAGATTCTCGTCTTACCGAAATGATCATTTTAAGAAATAAATGAACTAAAATTCTCAATTTCCAATAAAACGTTAATAGTTGTATTTATAATTTTTTTAAAATGATTTATTAATTTCTAAATAAACATAATATATTTATTGAAAGAATGAAATTATTTTAATAAAATTATTTAAAAAATTATATGTTTTATTATTTTTAATATGATTAAAAAACTAACTACAATCACCAATTTATAATTCCACATAATACTTGCCATACATTAATTATCTCAATCTAATTGAAAATTAACGAACTTAATCATTAAATGAGATTGAAGAAAAGAATTTGGATGGATGACACCATCAGCAGCGGAAAAGGAAAGCCAAATTCATATTGTTTTCCATCATCACGTGCCATGTGGCGCGTCGCTTACACATGCTAAGGACAGCAAGTGCGTCGTCTATCACACCGCACAAAACTCGCACCCATTTCAGCAGAGAACGAAATATAGAGACAAAAGGAAAAATTAAGCACCGGGAAAAAAAAATGTAGCTAGAAAATAATTGAAAAGAGAAAATTCCCCGATTCCCCCTTTTAGCTCGGAGAGAGAAATAAAAAAGAAATTAAAATACGTTATTTGAGAAAAGAAGCGACGACTTTTCCGATTACTAATTTGATTGTTCCATTCTCGAATTGCGTTAGGGTTTCATAATTAGCACTCTTCCAAACAATTTTTACGGTGCTTTTTCGATCAATTTTCCTGGAAAGTTTTCATCTTTTTTGGTTTCTGAGTTTTGGGTCGTTAAATCCAGAATTTGATGTTCCTTGAAGAAGTTTCAGAAAGAGAAAGAGAGAGAGAAGGGGGGAAATACGATGGCTTCTTCTTCTTCAGCTACTGTCGCAGTGGAGAAGGCGACCAGCGATCTTCTTATGGGCCCTGATTGGACCATGAACATAGAAATTTGTGATTCCATCAATTCTAATCATTGGTAATCTTCAACTGCCAGAAAAGGAGGAAGATAGTTAGCATATCAATTTCGATAATATGTTTTATTTTGGAAGGGTTGACTTTGATTAGTTACCACATGTTATCCTTTTAATGTTTGTTGGTTCTGTTATTTGAAGGAATTTTAGGGTTATAGTTGCTGTTCTTGTTGTTTGTAGATTGTATTTTTATTTTTATTTCTTTTTGTGATGAAACTGACAAGGGGATGGTATTATTCGGAAAACAGTGGAAAGTGGTTGTTCATTTTTCTACTTACATTAATTTTTTTCCATTTTTTTTAATTCTGGTGTTTTTAAATTTTCTCATGCATGATTGTTGTTGTCAAAATTGAACAATTATTTTAACTCAGTTTCTTCCATTTTCTCTATGCAAAACCAGGGTCCCGGGATGATAATAGAAGATGCTTCTTTCTCGTTTTCCTTTCACTCCTTTAATAGTGTAGTCTCTGGGAAATTTACACTGTTCTATTAAGTTTTACTGAATCTTTGATGAATACCACTTGTTTATTTCTCAGGCAGCCAAAAGATGTGGTAAGAGCTGTGAAGAGGAGATTACAACATAGGACCTCTAGAGTTCAATTGCTAGCTCTCACGGTACTTTGTTGGCACTAGCTTTTGGTCTTACTTTTTTGTATTTTGCTCAAATTTTTTGTGGCTTTGTCCTCCTGGATTGCTTAACTTTCAAATTCATTTGTTTGAACTTGATTTGTGGTTTCTGGTTGTCTACCCCCAGCTGCTGGAGACAATGGTAAAGAACTGTGGTGATTTTGTGCACTTTCAAATTGCTGAGAGGAACATACTGGAGGAGATGATCAAAATCTTAAGGAAGAAGGTATGGTTGTTTTAGTTGGAAACATTAGATGTGTTCCTGATTTAGTTTGAGTATTTGATTCTTGAAAGAAACTGTAATTGCATTCTTCCTGGAAATTTGTGTTTATAAATAAGATCAGATCATTATGACTAAACCTCTGTCATTGTTTAGAGAGAGAATTTCTCTAGAATCTAGAAAGATTTATATCTGTTACAGGTTTACTGTCAGTAAAATTGATTACGTACTACATTTTCTGAAATGATTAATAATTTCCACTGTTTGATTCAGCTGTTAAATATTTTCTAACATCATTCTTCTATCATTAATAATGCATTTTATATTAATAATATTATAAATTCAATTCTCTTGAAAAATAAAGTATCTAGAAGATGATGTTAATTAAGAATGCAATCCTTTGATGGTGTGAAAGTCAATGTTGTTTCTTTTTACTTATTTGGCATGTTAGGGACGATTATAGAAAGTGTTTACGAAAGCAAACGGCAAGTTTTAATCTATTATGTTATGATGACATTTGATGGTGTAATTGTTTAAAATGCACTTTGCCTAATTCTGTATCCATATCAAGTCTACTGCTGTACATCATTAGTGACCAATATGTTCTAGTGTTGTGTGGAGATTTCCTTTAGTATAGGATTCTAGATTTTTAGGGGATTAAAACAGAAATTCTGATTTTAATTTCCTGATTCAAACCGTTTAAGGAAGTACATTATATAGAGAGTTCTACTGCTTACGTTACAAGAATTAATTAGAGCTCTGCCACCTTACAATTATTAAAAGAGCTCTACCACCTACAATAATTAATAATTATATCCCTACAATATCTTTACTATAATTGATGATATATTCTCCTAACTCAACAGATACGTTACTGGATAATTGGCTCAAAACTGTGTTAATTGTCCATGGGCATTATTTCTCTCTCTCAAAAAAAAAAAGTTTTCACGTTGACTTTAACAAGTATAGGACCCATCCACATGTTGATACGTAAATACAAGGATCTTTTTGATAGGTATCAAAACAATCTTCATGTTTACTTATCAAAATATTGATGGGTTCTATATCTGTTAAATACTACTGTTTCCAGAAAACTATTTCTTTTATTTCATTTATATAATCTAACATGAAATACATGTGATTATTGTTTAGGCAGATATGCAAGTGAGGGATAAAATCTTAATATTGTTGGACTCATGGCAAGAGGCCTTCGGGGGACCAGGTGGTAAACATCCTCAGTACTATTGGGCATATGATGAGTTAAAGGTATCATTCTACTCGATAATATTTTATGATTGGTTTTTATCCATCTCTTAGTGGCATGTTAGATTTTCAAAATTATATACTCGTCATTTGTGAATTTTCTGTAAATGATACACAATCTGATTTATCTTAAGGATGAAAATACAAATTTTAAAATGACACTTTAACTTCTGATTATAACATGTATACAAATTGGTATTTTGTAACTAAATGTGTTACTGAAGAACTCATAGATGCTTTGCCTAAAAATCTTAGTGTTCTTGCAATTCTTTAGTGACATATGAGTGAATTTTAACTTTTTAAGGTTCCATATACTTTATTCCATCAACACCTCAGTTTGGAGAATTGTTTCCTGGAATAACCCCACCATCATCCCGTTTGTTGCAAATTTACATTTCAAGTACAGGATAAAAGATTGCATTGATATCTGTAAGACATACTCATATGTGAGTTGCAATTCAATGACCATCAGATTATATCATATTATGAATGGCAGCGTTCCGGGGTAGTTTTTCCAAAGCGGTCACCAGATGCAGCTCCAATATTTACTCCTCCTACCCATCCAAATTTTAGGAATATGCACGCTGGATATGGGATGCCGAGCAATTCATCAAAAACACTGGATGAAACCATGGCAACAGAGATAGAAAGTTTAAGGTTAATAATCTCTGCCTCTTTTTTTTCCTTCTCACACTTGCCTTCCTCTGGTGTCCTTTGTGTCACAGAACTTCTATCTATTACCAAACTTGTATTTTAGCTAATTTTTCTTGAAATACTCAGTATGTCAAGTTTGGAGTCCGTGCAAGATGTTTTGGATCTTCTGAGTGACATGTTGCAGGCTGTGAATCCTAGTGATCGTGCAGTAAGTTGATTTTTTTTTGCTTGGCCTTCTTGAATCCTCCTTTCTACTTAGTGAAATGATTTTATGTCTGGTTTTGATGCTTTGTAGGCTGTAAAAGACGAAGTAATTATTGATCTTGTTGATCGCTGTCGCACAAACCAGAAAAAGCTGATGCAGATGCTAACAACAACTGGGTTAGTTTGACTTGTCTTTTCCATCTGGCGCACAACCAAATATACTTGTTTGTTACTTCGTGAAGTCTATCCACAGATATGTGGCATAATATTTGTTATCATGTTGGTTTTGTCATAGGGATGAGGAGCTTCTTGGGCGAGGTCTGGAATTAAATGATACTATTCAAAGTTTGCTTGCAAGGCATGATGCAATTGCTTCTGGTACTCCGTTTCCAATTCAAGGAGCTAGTTCCAGCACTGTGTCAACTGAAGTTCAATCGAGTGTAGATCAATCCAATATAAAGAGCTCCGGCCCTGGAGAGTCTTCTTCAGAACCTAAAGCGAGCTCTTCAGCCATAGTCTGTTCTGAAGCCAGGAGCCAGAGTGATGAAGAGGAAGAAGATGAATTTGCACAGCTAGCACGGAGGTCTCTTAGAAATGATATTATATTTAAAATTTATGTTTCAGTTCTGATGGTTATTGAAACATGTTTTTCATTTCAGTCTTGCTTGCTTATAACTTATCTAAAAGATAAACTAGTTTAGAATGTGTGTTTAGGTCTAGTGCGTGGACATGAATGGATAAGCATGACAAAGTGAATTATCTACTTGCCCTTTGTTTTATAAAGTCAAAATCCTTGCATTAAGCATTTATTTTCATTTTATACTTCCGTATGTTTGTTATTTCATTCTGTTATACGTCAGAAACCCTGATTTTGTTATCATATAAATTCTTGTAAAATTTATATCAACATGTATTGTAAGTCATGGGTAATGAAATTTGATAGGAGGAGACTACCTCCTATCAAAATGTGTAATTGTTTGATTTGATAGTTGTCAGTTAGCTACAGCTAAGACTGTTAAAATAGGATAATTTTATTAGCAAAAAGTAGGAAAAAAAGAAAAGAAGATTGCCTGGAAGAAATTCTGTTGGGGGGGACTATTTGAGTGTGTGGTGCTCTTTCATATCAATAAAGAGATTCTAGCCTTCTGGTTCCTGTTTCGATCCAATTCTATCAAAATTGTTCTATCATGTCGATAATTTTTTATTAAATATGAACTCTTTACTATCGTTGCAGGCATTCTAAGGCACAGCTAGTGACTTCAAATGATGCTTCCACTGGTTCCGGCACAAATTCAGTTTCATTTAACACTAGCAGCACAACTACACATGTACCTGAGCCCCTTTCCAATGCATTAGTTCTTTCTAATCCACCTGCCCCAGTTATTACTGCAAAGGATCAGAACATTATTGACTTACTGAGTATCACTTTGTCAATGTCACCATCACCACAGACAACTTATGAATCATCTTCACAAACAACTTATGCACCATCTCCACAGACAACATATGCATCATCAGCTTCTAGCCAAGGCATGCATCAGATACCTGTTCAGTCCAGTAGTTCAGAAGGGTATTCATGTACTTCTCAAACATATCCGGGAAATTTGTCATACAACAGTTACGTTGTCCCTTGGGCTCAACCTCAATCTAAGTCAGAATTTCAAACCGAGCCTCAAAAACAGACGTATCAATCTCAACCTCCAACCCCACCGTCATCTCAACAGCTACATACACATTATGAATCCGAACAACAGCAGCATCAACCGACCCAACAGGGATTATCCCAGCCCCATTCTGTGCAATTGCAATCACAACCCCTACCACAATCTCGACCTATATTACAACAACAATCTCAACATCAGTATAGCCCTCAACAACATTTGCAACCTAATCATAAACAGCAACCACTACAGTATCAACCACAGCACCAAACACTGCAGTCTCAACCCCAACCCCATCAACACTCATATCCCCAACCCAATTCACAGTCCCATCCTCAACCCCAGCTACAGTATCAGTCCCATACCGTACATGGTCAGCAACCTCAACCACAGCAACATTTTCGGAATCAACAAGTTCAATACCCTGCAAGATATCCTCCCCCACCATGGGCAGCTACACCTGGATATGCCAATTATCAAAATCACTCGCCTGCTACAAATGTGATTTCAACTCAAGCAAATACAACAGTATCTTATCCTTCTGCTCCAGGGGTTAGGCCCATACTACACAATAATTCATTCACCGCCAGAGGAGGCATTGGTGGAACTCCTGCAAGTGCAACTGGACAGAAGACTTTTATTCCATCTTACAGGTTATTTGAAGATTTGAATGTTTTCGGAAACACAGATGGAAAGGTAAAGATGACCGGCAGTGGTTCATCATCCAGCATGTCAGGGACAATGGGACCCGGTATGGTAGGCGGGCGTAAGTGAAGTGTTCTATTCATGTGTAAAAATGTGTTAATATACTGTAAAAAATGGGACAAGCAGTATTTTCAGCAGCTTCTCATTTTTGTAAAGGTCTCTAGATTGATTCAAGTGTCTTCCTATTTTTGAGCAGATCAGAAAGTCATTAGTTTGAGCGTTACCTCAGACGACAGACTTTGAACAGTCTCTGCTGTTGCACTTAAGTTTCTGATGTTCATACTTTGATCGTTAACCACTGTAAATGGAACATAAAATGCAGACACGTGTATAGTGGCATTAATTATTGGGAACTTACACCTTCGAGAAATAGCCAGGCAAATCACGTGACATCTGTTAAAGTGTGAATCTGGATTTTACGTTGATTTGCGTATGCAAAACTTTTAATCTTCGTAATTTTAAGACGTAATGACTTGTACGATTTGAAACTTTGGATCGACTTCAAACGTAAACTCACGTGACTAAAGATATTATGGTAATAAATGTGTATCTAAGAGACAATATTTACGTACTTTAGATCCAGATATTTCGTAATTTGTATTGGTGGAATTGATAATTTAAATGAATCGGGATTCAAATCCCACTCGCAAGCTGCATTGCAACCTTATTATAGCAAGAAATTATCGCGATGTAGAACTTACTCATTTAAAAAAAAAAAAGAGGTTCATATATGTGCACAAGGAGGGGTGTATTAGATACACAGGAGGCAACGGACAAAACCCGCTGTACAACGAAAAGCTACAACTTGATCCCCACTAAATTGAGCCTAATGAAAATTCTGGCTAAAAAGCGTTACTGCCACCATGGCATAAAAAAGAGTAAAGGAAACTACTAAGGCAATCTGCGCAAAGCCCAGCCGAAGGTTGAGACAAAGAAATTGCACACTTGGACAAACTTGAATTTAATTACATCTTTGGTTAAAAACAAGGGTCCCCCAATTCAACGGAAACTACAATCATGAGTGACATGCCCCATTTACAGGAGTCAATCACCCACATTTGTCAGCAAACTAGCTTATGTAATCTGACAAAAAAATTTACAAATCATGAAAGGGTGGAAATAGCACGCAAAACGGAAAATAATTATGGGAAAATGATATTTACACACATTTACGACGACTGACATTATTTGCCGAAGCCTCCAATCAATAAGCATGATTTTCTTCCAGTCGAGTGCAACCCTCTAGTCATGGAGGCTAATGAATATCTTGCATACACTATCAGCAGAATATACCCCTACCAATATTTTCAGATGTATTCACAGCGGAGAGGGATTAAAGCATCATCACAGGATTATCCAACTGCAAGAAATGTGTGGCGTTCCTGAGAGATGTTTGGTGCACTCTTCTGAGCTGGAGACAACCGATGAAATCATGGGAAAAATGCAGATTCATCTAGCTTGAGTGTTGTCATCAGCATAGATACAAACGCATGCATCTGCAGCACCAGCAGCAAGTAATACCTGGTATGGATGGAAATTGAGGCAACTTACAGAACCAATTTTCTGGGCCATTAAGGTAGGATAGTATCGAATGGTGCCTAGTTGATCACCCTCCAGACTAAAAACTTTAATGAGTTGTTTGGCGGAACCACTAGCAATAATTGGAGCATGTCTATGTACAGCTAAAGCTGTGAGTGATCCCCTATGAGCTTCAATAGTAAGATAGGTGCTCCTAACATTTCTTATATCAAGAAATTGGATATCCCCAGCCTGAGAAGCACTAACAATCTGAAGAAAACCAACAAAGTTACATAAATGCGCCATCTACTTCAAATCAAATTTATAAATCTAAGAATAACAAGTAACTGAAGAAAAAATATATCAAACTAGCACCATGCTCTTTTTACCTTTCCTTGGTCTAGTCCAGGTTGAAAGCCAATCCCCACAACCTTTTCTACTCTTTGCGTATGAGGCCTTAACTCACAGACGAGTCTAAGAAGCATCATTCTCATTAGTGATTAGAGAGACATTTAGAGACGGAGAGGCTTCTAAATTAAACGATAAAAGCATTTTATGTATGATAGAACGTAAGATACTAGAAATCTTTGAGGAAGTTAAAGTATAGTTTCATTATTTAGATGCATGCATAACCATGTCAAAACATAGGTGACACCAACAATGTTGCTTGATTAAATTACATCAATAAAAGTGAATAATGAACCATGTTCTTATTTGCATCACGATGGAAGAAGTTCATATGAGGTGCTTACATTTCAGGTGTTCTGACATCATAAAGTCTGACAGAACCATCAACAAAACCAGCAGCAAATTGTCCCCCATGTACTTGAGATGCAGCCTGTAACACCAAAAAATGTGTACAAATCAAAGGATAATAATTGTTTGTATAGCTCCTTTGTTACGTGATTACAGATCGAGTAAAATAGTACCAAAAGGGGGTGACCACCATTGACGAATATCATTAATTTTGAGAATTTACATGTTAGGTTAATATACATTTTTTTAATGTCTTTCAAGACCTGAGAATAGTCACAACACTACTATATGAGATTGACAACTGTCCCTACTGAAGGCAAACCATAAGATCAACAAAGGTATTTTATGTTTTCACGTTCAAAAACAAACAGGTACCTTGAACAGGCCTCAGAAAAGGGGGACGGGAGCATTTTCACAGTAATAAGCCATTAATCATTATTACAAAAAAAGGCTTTACAAAACATGAATTTCTTATTTTTAAAAACCTATTCTAAATGTAGTTGGCATGCCAAAATTCACAAATTCAGCTCAAATATATTGGAATACAACTTAGTAAATGCACAAGTATAGCATCTGCTTAGCTGTCATTCCAAAATAACTATAGCAAGCATGATTACCAACAAAACACGTCCATCATAGCGGAAGCTTACCAACGCTGAGACAGTGCAATCTGATGATGAAGGTATAGTATTAACAAGCTGCTCTTTATCAACATCCCATAGCATAATAGATGATATCTCACCCGATGCATACTGGTAAATGTACAAGTGTAACATGAAACACCATAAAAAAATTATAAGCATCACAATATGAGGAAAGCATAGAGATCCAATTTTAGGACATCGGGGTAGATGGATATTTCCCACAATAAAAATAATTACAGAATAATCATACCAGATAACCACATTGTTGTTGCCAATCAACAACTGCATTGAGACTCCTCACACCAGGCTTATGACCATGAATTGAAGAGAATGCAGTGACAAGTTTTTGTTTACCCTTCATAGTATAATCTTTCCAAATCCGTATGTTTCCATCAGCTGCATCATAAGTTTCCCTGATATCAAATAATCTGACAACAATTTGAGAATAATAGAACTTTAAAGAGTAGAGAAAATACATGAAGCAGCAAGAAGCAAGCTATCATCAAGCTCATTTACAAGACACAGTTTAGAAATCCCTTTGTCAGGAAAATCATGATTATCAAAACTGTTGAGAAGTGTTGCCTCCTCATGGTTCCATACCCTACAGAGAAATCCAAAGAACATTAGCAAATAACAATAATCCAAATTGGCAATGCAATGACACTGATCAAGATCAGAAAAATATTCTGACTAGGTCAAAAGTCAGAATTCCTACTGTCTACAAAATTATGCTAGGGAATTGTCACTTAGTTGTCAAAGTCCCTATATGCAATAAATGTTACTCAGTCTTGCCATATGATACCAACCCTGAATATAAACATGACTGAAATATATAACTTCTAACAATTCACCACAGGTGACCATAAAGGCCTGTAAACCAGTATTATCGATATTCAATATCAAAAAATATAGAAACTAGCATATAGAAAAATAAAAATAAAAATAATATATATATATATATATATATAAATGCAGAAATATAATTAAAATGCAAAAAAATTGAAAACAATCATACAATTAATAATAATAAGTCTAAAAATACAAATAACAATAAATTCAACGCAAAATACAACAGATTTGAACTGCCTTGCTCAGTTGGCAATTGGATATTCAGGGATTTCAGTTTTATAGAGAATGAGAATTGGATAGAAATTAAAAAAAGAGAACCAGGCAACTGAAAACAAAAAATGAGAACCCAGCGGTTCCAACTAGGGGAATGCGTTGGAGAAGAGGGACAGGTGGTGGCACAGTAATGGTTTGATAGCAGTGCTGCAGTGGGTTGATGGCGAGGGAAAAAGACCGCAGGTGGCGGCAGAACAGGTTGAGGAACTGATGGACAGCAGCTATGGTAGCTGAACTGGTATAGCTTTTTGGACTACAGCTGGTTCCCAGATCTTAGCATAGTTTTTTTTTTTAATTTTGGGTTGGATTGTACAACCCAAACAATTTTTTTAAATCTATTGGGCTTGATCCGGTTAAAGGACCCACAATAGTTTTACAAAAAATAAGGGCTTTTTTGCCATTGGGCCTGGGTTGGGTTGCCTTGAACCACGAGTTCTTCCCCATTACCTATTGACCACATTTACAACATCCAAAGCAGACATGATGGACCTTGATGGAAATCCGACATCACCATTGTCATGCTATGGCAGCCAGTGAAAAATCCACAACCAATTTCCGCTATGTGCAGCTGTGGCCCTTTTTTGATAACACTGAAGTAAAAAAATGTCCTAACGTTCCCTAAACACAAATCACTATCATGTCTATAGCCATGCCCAGCTTCATAACAGTCTCAGTTTGGTAACTGATAATAATGGCTTCAAATACCTGATTCGTTCATTCTCATCAGCAGCTATTACTATAGGAGAGAAAGGTTGCAACAATGCTGTTTGTGTTCCCTTTATGTCCCACTTAGCAATTGGATTTGTAAGTCTGCTAACAGCTGAAAGAATAAAATAAAATGTCAGCTAGACATCAGTAAAGAATATGTTTAATAAAAACAATAAAAAGAAGAAATACGAACCAGAGTGTTGGCATTTAGCTATGTGCTCCAGTGCAAATTTTTCCCTCTCCTCTCTTCTGACTATTAATTCTTCACTATCATCTGCAGCAGTTAAAAGTGGTTTGGAAAAGTGACCACAACTCCAGCTATATATAGTTGATTGTGGAAGAAAGCTTCGATCTGAAGTCCCAGAAGCTCCACCAGAACCTAAAAGTGGATCAGCTAATCCAGAGTCGGGAGAATTCATCAGGTGGGGCCTAAACTCCAATGAACAGACCCTACGCATTCCAGTTATATAACTTGGGCGAGGAGGACTGACAGGAGGAGTTCTGAAGGTCAGTGGCAAGTGTCCTGCCAGAGGAACAAGCAATAATGAGCATAAATGCTGGTAATAAAGCAGCAGGGATTATCACAAATAAAATTGATGTTAAGAGATAAACTTTACCAAACTGCATCGGAAATTATCCACAGGATTAACCATTAAGTGAAATGAAAGGGAGATGTACCTCCATTCATATCAAACCATGAAGACGAACGAGCCAGTCCAGCAAGACTGGGAGAAGCTGTAGATTCAGCAGTTCGAACACTAGTAGACTTCAATGGTTTTGCAACCACTTGTTCGATACCTATGATGGACAGTACCCGACGACCAAGATTTGCAATGCGTGGAGATGGATCTTTTGCTAATGTACACATAGCAAGTACACATTGTGAATACAATGCATTGTCCAAGGGCTTTGGCCCAGTGTGGTTAACCACTCCATTGCTGAAACCATCATTTAGAATTCCTGAATCAGAATGATGAGATGAATCATCAGACAGTGGGGACCCATGCATGATTCCCGAACCAGTAAGAGGGCTACTAGAAGAGACCCGCCCATCTCGAACCACTGGAGAATTGTCATTTCCAACCCTGATAGGACCAATTTGAGGAGAAACAATACTTCCATGTTGGTTCTGTTTAGGATATCCACCAACTGAACCTTTAATATTAGCCAATGAAGGTAAGGAATTAATCAAAGAATTAGATTGAGGCTTCCAATATGCAGCAGCAATAGATTTCAGGTGCTTGTTGTGGCCAAAAGCAAATCGTGCTAGAGCTGACAGTTGAAAAAAAAAAAAAAAGTCAGCAGCATGTCTCAGATCTCTCTCTCTCTCTCTAAACTAAACCAGCCTTCCCATTTAACAACATTAAGTTATCTTAGACTACAAACTAATTAGCAGTAATTAGAATCAAATCAGAGGCAACAATCAGAAACACACAAAAAATGAAGCTTTTGGATCCAAATTTGATTACTTTTTGTGCTGATGTTTTCTTTCTTATTAACAAGGAACAATTACTTTGTTAAAAGGTTTGCAGATGATTAAGAATTTGCAGTAATCATATGTATTAAAAATAATAATCTCCCGACTGGGTCCTTCCCATCTAATCATAAGAAAATAAAATCTATTCACAAATTCAAAATAAAAATATAAATTCAGATGTTTAATCACCTACCTACTGCTACCTCTGCCCTCACCAATGGACTCCCATCTGAAGCAACACATAACATACTCTTAATTATACTAACTTCAGCTCTAAACTTTTCATCATCATCACATTCTTCATCTCCACCAACACTTCTACACGTATCAAATCCCACATCAAGAAGGGTACCCAGTGCAAAAACAGCAGATGCCCTAACCTGTTTAGAATAAAATGCATGACAAATTTATTTAAACAATACACCAAAAATTATAATCATCTAGCAACTGGAAATAGACCAATAAGTAGGGCATAAACCTCCGGCTGGGGTTCAGACAGTAGAGGAGCAAATATAGTAGTTGCATCTTCCTGTAAACCAATTGTTTGTGCCTCCGAGAAGTCTTCCCACAATTTCCCCAGACACAGGCAAAGCCATTGAAGGAAAAGGGGTTCAGTTTGCGACTCATTATTAGGACTTGAACTCTGAAGGTGCTTTAAGCAGACATGAATCAAAACAGATTCAATACAAGCTTCTTGGCCCCGTCTATGACCATCCACAATCACAGCCAAAACAAAAGCAGCCATTGCACGTTGCTCTGGATATGCTTCCATGCTATCAAGGAACTTAATGAAATAGACATGACCACCATCCTTCACCAGATCAACCTGACATGACTACAACCCAGAAATAGAACATAATCAATGCCAGACACAGCAGGCATTCAACATGCAGAGTTCAAGACCAAATTTGAGTAGAAAATTATAAAGCCCGTATAATTACGAGCAAAAAATAGAAAGTGTTGTAATATTCACACTATGTTAATTGAGTTCAGGATTTTATTGCATAGTTTACATTTTTTTATTAACTTTCGGATTTTGATAGTATCGTAACCAATAGAGAACAGTTAAATGTTTCATTAAAAATAGGTAAAACTATAAATCTTTTGGTAGGATATGGGATGATTGAGGAAAAGCATATTGCATATGTTTGGATAAACAAGGAAAAAACAGGAAGGAAAGATGTGTATTTAAATCTGAAAAATTGTATTGTTTGATAGAAGATAAAAATAGGGATCAGAGGTAGAAAAGAAAATTCATGAAAAAGAGCTTCAAATATCAAAATCTTTCAAAGTTATCCCTCAATGTAAAATTTCCTTTCCCCCCTTATTTTCTGTCCTCTCTTCTGATAAAAACAAAGCATAAATGTTTCTTTCCCTATGAAGATATGAGTACCAGATACAATATATCCGATACGACGATTCATTATTCTAGAAAAAAAACAAGATACAATATGTATAAGATACATCTTTAAAATGTACAAGAATTCATTAAATGAAATATTATAAATATAAAACTACAATCATGCAAATCCAAATTTTAAATCACATTTCTTGGATATTGTGGAACTAAACAATATAATCATTACAAAATATTTCCTATAGTTACATATAGGAAACATTATCAATCTCTATTACTTTATTTAAATAGTTCATACAGAATAATTTTCTATCCGTTTCTTGAACTTTTATTAGATATAAACGACTTAAATACTTAGACATGTAACTTATATACATAATTGTGAAGTATCTTATATGTAAAACAAATAAAAGTATTAATACTTCATTGAAAGCAAGTGTATATACTGCAATAACTACTACAGTAACACCAACCTTCACTGACCACACATTATTTAAAAGTTTGCATAGGAAGCTAACAAAACAAACAATTATTTCTGTAAAATAAGCAAAACCAAACATGAGTAACTGACATTTAGTTAAAGACAATTTATTTTCCTCCAAATCTACCTTGTCAAGTGCAAGAATCTTTGTCCATATGAATACAAGGATCTGACGTAGTTCAGGTGTTGTTGTTTGTAACAGCTTTAGAACATAAGGAAATATTCCAACAGATAATGCCTACGTACAAAAAAACTTAGTATCAAGTTATCATACCATAAACCTTTTATAAATAAGTAAATAAATAGGTAAAACAATTGCAACAAAAGTTGATGAATCTAGAGAAAATTACCAGATCGACTGCCCATGGCCCCATATCAAGAAACCTCCCAAGGAGCACTAAGGCCCGAAAGCGATGGCATTGACTAAGTAAAACCTGAAATAGGAACAACGCTATTTATTAATGCATGCAAAAGGCACCAACAACTGCCAGACAATTTTCTCCGAGGTATACATTATACAATTGTGAAAAAAGGAAAAACAAATGAGTCAAAAGTGCTAAAGGAAAGGTTGAAAGGTCTTTTTTCCAAATGAGACTATACAAAACAAATGCTCACCAGACATCTAAGAGTAGAATTTCTGAACCCATACAGAATATAGACATAGAAAGATGATTCCCAAATCAAACAAATTGCAAGAAAGTCTCCTAATGAATAATTGAGACAATAATTGACCATAACACTTTGTGAGAAGCATTTTAGGACAATCTGGGTATTGTAGGCAATGAAAAATTCAAATATGTCAATTGTCATTACAACTAAATATAGCTATCCCCATTGTTAAGAGAGTAGATGCTCACAACAAATACATCATTTTTGACAAATATCTATCATAAGGATGATAATAATTATACCTAACCAAATTGACGATTTCAGCTAAAAAAATATAGTTCAGTCTTACCCTCCCAAAAACTTAAGGAACAGCACCTGACAGCTGGTTCAATAAAATCATGTAACCAACCTAACAAGAGTACTACGAAGCAACACAATGGCTGAAATGAAAACAAAGACAAAGACATGGATTGCACCTGAAGAACTATAGGCAACTGCTCTGGTGGTTTCTTATGTTCAGAACCATGGTCAAGCCATACCTCAAAGGCTGTCAACTGCTCAGTGAAAAATGTACTAGGCTGAAAGAGAATAACAACGTAAATCCATCAGGTAAGCTCAAAAGTTATAAATAATGCTTATATTATTATTCCATTCCAAACCATACCTAAGCTATTTTTTATTATTTAATATTCAATTTCAGAAAGAACTCTACATCAGAGTTATTACAAAAAATAAATCCAGAATTCCAGATACCTGAAATTCAGCATTAGGATCCTCAACTAAAGATGGAAGTTGGGCGAGGCATAGCTCAGCAGCCATGTCCCATGCATCCCTGAAGTGCGGAGAAAAAAATCGCTGTTGACAAAATTTGGCAACTCATAAAAAAATATCATAACAATAATCACCAAGAATACCACATATGATGCTGATGGGTTGGAGGTAACATTGGGTGAGAGACAGGAGTACAATTTGCGGATCGCATGATTCGCTCAGCAAGTAGAAAATTTCGAAACAGACTTGCAACAAGCAAATCCTGTCTGAACAGTCTCTGGAAAAGATCTGCATGACAAAATAATGATCAATACAAGAAAAAAAAAAGATACCAACTAAAAATGCTTGCTAAACAACTGGTGTTAAGAAAAGAAACTGTTGCAATTTAGCAAGTCAGTGAAATGATGGAGGGGGTTGAGACCCACCATGGGGAAGAACATTCCAGGCAATTGTATCAGTTACTGCTGTAAAGATCCAATTCAATTCACCCAGAAGTGTCTTTCGGTCATTTGGACGGCCAGGGATCTTGTCTATAAGTGAATAATCAAGTGATTCACGAAGTAATGAACGTGTACAAAACCTGGAGACAAATTACATCACAAAAAAATTATGAATAGCCAGTTTGAAGAGATATACAATTATCAGTTCCCCAACACTTGAAAATTCAGGGATTAGAGAAAATGAGGAGGTAATGCAAATGTAGGTGTCAAGCATAAATTCAATTTCATAGTGAAAACCATGTATATCATGGGTTCTGTTCTTCTATCACTAAATACAGCTGCAAAAGTTACAGCAAAGAAAATAAATCAACAAAAATACCCCCACGGAGAAATTGTATTATAAAAATTGACATTCTAATGTTTCAATATGGGTAAGTATAACCAGGTAAATTATTTGGTGGGTAAAATAAAACCATTCATGTTACAAAAGTGTGCATTATTTAGAAGACTCTGCACAATGCTTTAGAAACCCATGCATAATGATATAACATTTAAAAAATAATAATATGATATATTAAATCTTGGTGAATGTAGGAATTAGTGAGAAGTCTCACAATAATAATAAAATATTTAACATTCTGAACATGATAAACTAAGTAGGAATTAGTGAGAAGTCTCACCATCGCAAGGCCATCTTTATAGGCGTTGTAAGGCAAGATGTAAACACATCAGCAGGAAATTCAGCACTCTGAGGCAAAGTCTCATGTGCTTCACATGCGGCAAGCAGAATGCAATCCCTTTGAGAGACAGAGGAGTTGGAAGCACTCCATTCATGAAGCTTATCATTAACAAGTCCGGTAACAAAATTTGGCAGTTCAAAAAAAAATCAGTACCAATTTGCAGGTTTTTATAAGTATTTTAACAACATGATTTTGAGTGGATACCTCAATGAACGAATTCACAATCATCCCAGCTGCAGAGCAATCAAAAACATATATTGATGGGGTCTTCAGCCAAGAATCAAGTTCATTGATGGGTAATGGGATATACTGCGTATAACTCTGCATAACATGTGATGCATAATGAGAATAGGCATTTCATGAAGTTATTTCCATCATGACATTGTAACTGAGGGCATTATACTCAATTGGAACCCATGATATCCAGTAGCAAGAGTTAAACTAATCAGGAATCTCTGATAAGATAAACTCCAGTTTAGTTTTAACTTTCTACCAGTTATTATCCTAGTAAAGTCAGCAGCACAAATTTTGCTGGAAAATTTTGCCCTTTCCAGCATAAAGATCATTGTAAGCTCAAGTTCTCATTTACAAAACAATAAAATTTATATTTATTTCCTGGTATTTCATGATTATTTAATATCTCCCTTGGTGCACTTGTTGAAAAAATTCTGAGCAAAATTAGAGGCATAAAAGTAAAATAATTAAAATACATTATATTCATCATGCATGGAATAAACATTAAATTCCTTTCTAATCCATTTTCTTCTCATCCTTTTGCCACCCATTTTCCTTCTATTCTTCCGTGTGTCATACTCTCATAATCATTCATTTCCCATTCACCCATTTTCATCTTTTATACTTTTTTCTTCTAATGAACACAGCACATTTTTAGAGAGGTGGGAAGCCATACACATATTTCTTTGACAACCAGTCCTACATTGCCAGTGAGAAGAGAACATCTGATTTATCTAGAACTAGATCACATGAAGATATAAAAAGATTCGAATGTTGACCTTATTGAAGACCCAAATTTCACCATTTGCAGTTGGTTTTGGTACACCATGTCCATTGTAATGGAATAAAACTCTTTCTGACTTTGCATATCTACGACAAGTAGTACAAAGCTTCTTTACCTCATCCACTGTCGGGTCAAGTTGACATTTATAGCGGGCCTGTAACATCTAACCATGGTTAACTAGAAATCAACTTTCAAAGATAAGATGAGTATAAGATTAGCAAGTTAAACGTGCCCACCTTTGGTTGCCATCTTTCATACTGACTGCTCAATGTTTTTCCAATTGACTCCAATGCCTTTTGTGGTGCCATAGAAAAAGGATCTGCAGTATTGAAAAAGATAAGCATCAAAAGACTGTTTGCACTTTAAAGATAAGTATCTACAGTTTTAATACGTCAAGATTATACTTAATCCATTAAGTTACATTTTTTATTAACAAAGTCACAAATATCTCAAAGTAATTAGGCTGGTAATCAAAAAGTTAATGACTGAATTTAAAGTTGTAGACTAGCATTGAATCCAACAGTCCAACCAAAAAAACAATGCAAAATAGAACACTTAGGATTGACCAGAATTATGAACTAGTAAAAACAAATAGTTAATAACAAAACTAGTCATATAATATTATTAAGAAGCCCAAAACTATTTCCCAACATTAATTAAACAAATAAAGTGCAAAAATTCTCAAATCCAGGAAACAACACAATAGCAAAAACTACAGAAAACAACAAATAAATAAACGAGATTAAAGGTAAAACAGGAGACCTATCCAGCACTCCATTCTGGCACATGGAGATATCTTTATTACATCTGGTGGGTCAACACTAATGTTTAAACATAATACTAGAGCTACACATCCAGTCTTCATCTGCACCACAAAATTTGGAGTTAAAACGAGCATACTTCTTACAACAGATATAGCATATAAACATCTTAAAGAAGTCATTAAAACATATTAGAGGAAGAAACAAACACTTGGATTAAAATGTATTCTGATTATGAAGAAAAATGTTAAATATCAGTATAATAAAGAAATCCATTGAAAAGGTAGACTACTATTCAAGAAATCCTTTATCAATATCTTTAGACAATATGAGCTCAATCCTAACCTCTCCAACCCAAAACAAAAACACAAACAAACCAACTGTAAAAACCAGATTTATTATCATTGTGGATTTATACATTTTACCCTTTGTAATGCGAAGTTACTTCAAATACAGCAATAAATATCATGTTTTACTGAGGAGCGGAGAACAATCTCAATCTTCGCTCTCAAGTTACATCCAAATGTTAACATGACGTTTTGAAAAATTGTAAATGCCAAACAGCCAGGGTATATGCAACTGCCATGCTACAAAACCTTCATAACATTAACTGTCAATGAGCTAATTATGTTGAAGAAGCCTCAACTTTTTTCACAAAACACACGCAAAAAACTACAAAAGAGAATAAATAAAGATCATTAGCAATGGAAGACTGCCTAACAAGATTTCCAGTTGATACAATCAGACTAGGCAAAAATGGCTTGCTTATTTCACCTTTTTAACAAGGGTTGGAATTAAAATCAATGCTCCTTACAAAAGAGCATGGATACTTGTTTTCACATGCGCATACATCTGGACCAAAGTCCACCTCTATCAAGTGTCAAACAATCTCCACCAACATAAGAAGCTACCAAGCTCCATTTCATGTAAACAAGCCACTTCATGTAAACAAGCCACTTCCTAATGCAAGCTACCAGGATTTACACAAGTCCTATTACCCTAAAGAAACAAATGTAAACAATCTTTCCCCCACCTCCAATCAGAAATCGTTAATTCAATCAAGAAAATTCCGGGATAATTTATCCATGTTTACAGCCAAATAAAAATTCATCAAAAACCAAGTTCACAATTAATTGAAGAAATTCCCCAATGCAAGTATCAGGCTCACTACTATAATCGATATCATTATTTTGAATCGATCGATTTCAAAATCCGATAGTATAGAGTGCACTCTGGATAGTAAAGAGAGAAGCTGCATTAATACCCACAAATATCACAGAACTCACTCGATTTCCTCATCAATCATTAGTTCAATATCACTCAGCATTCACTCTTTGCACTTCACAGGATCCAGACCAGTCTTAACAAAACTTAATGTTTAACAGGTCAAACATTTTACGTCCTTGACAAGTCCCTAACAACATTGACACATACATAGACAAACGCAGCCATCCATTCACAATCATCACTTCTGCCACTGCATTGACCTAGACGCCCTTTTCTCTACATTTGCCACATTCCAGTGACGCAGAACACGTGACACACAGGATTCACACAATTTTCCATTCTCATTGTAACGCAAATCGCAAATCACCGATTCATCACACAAAATGCGGATAACACAAACAAGGTTAACAAATAACTGAATCGAACTTTCCAGAGCAACTGAACTGACCCTATCCTTGGGTCGCCACTTAGAGACGAGGCCGCTGTCGGAGGGGCCAGCGGGGACGGCGGCCTCGAAGGCTTCGTGGCGGAGCTCGCATAGGACGACGGTCTGCGGCAGGTAGGCCATGCTGGTGATGGCATTCCCGGTGAAGTTGCCACTGCTGCTGGCGATGGCGGCTTCAGAGTCGCGGCGGTGGGCGAAATCAGCATCGTCGGTGTTATTAACGGCGGTGACGACGGCGACGGAGGAGGACGAAGAGGAGGCGGTGGAATCGTCGTGGTGATTCTGGCTGGGAACGACTAGAACGGTGGATTGGGAAAAGCGAGAGGCCATCAAATCTCCCAATGCCATCCAAATCGGAAACCCTCCTCAGTGATCGTACATGGAATAAGGGAGGGTTTAGACGGGGAGGGAACCCTAGGTTTTCGCAGTGTGAGGAATATGAGGATGGTGATGTTGATGATGATGATGATAGTGATGGCTATGGTGGCGGTGGTGTTGATGATGATGATGGTAGAGACGATGATGATGGTAGAGAAGATGATGATGATGAAGAAGGGGGGCGCATAGAACAGTGGCGGCAGGCACTGTCTCTCCTTGAAGCGAAACGGAAACGAGTGATACGAAATTGCGATTTTGTGAAGCGAAAAAAGAAAAAAACAATATTGGTGGAATTTAATAATATTAAATTCATAAGCTTTTCTCTCTTGGCATGGGAATAAAATTAAATTGAAATTTTGCGTGACACGGTCAATTCTTTTCTTTCACAAACAACTGTTCTTGGTTAATTATTAATTAATATGTGTTGTAATGTTTTATTACATAAGCCTAACGTCACTTAGATGATGATGATGAAAATATTTATAAATAAGCAGTACAATTGGGACATTAGGAGCATTAGAATTAAATCACCTTATGTAACAAATTACTGGGGAAAATCTTTCTAGTTTGTTAGCATTTGACAAATTAGTGTAACAAGGATGACTGATTTAAAATAAAATAATATATATATATATATATATATATATATATATATATATATCGAGTGATGACCAATTTAAAAATATATTTTTTATTATCTCACTTTTTAAATAAAATTACTTTAATTGTTTAACCATATTACAAGGGAGTAACATTAATTTTAACATAAATGATAGACAGGCACCCAACAAATATTCATCACTAGTTCAATATCTTTATTATGACTCAAAATAATAATAACAAATAATAATAAACCAAGACATATATGTTTGACAAAAACAGTGTTATGTCTATTACTACTCTAATTTTAATATATTTGATTTTAATATCTTATTTTTACTATTTTGTATTTTATATATATATTAAATACATATTGACGTTAGAATTGGACATTCTAGTTTAATTTTTCCATATAATATGGACAATTTATTTTAGGGATTTTGATGATAATAAAATAAAATGTATAATAGTTTAATATTTTGTATATTTAAATGAAACATGTATAAAGATTATAAATATTTTATTCTTCTTCTTGTGTAATCATCTTTAATAGGTTTATAACATTAAATAGGATGCCTAATCTACTATAATTTAGAGGAATCCAATGTAAATATTATTGGAAATATTATTATCAATGCAAAAATATTATAAATATCTTTACACGGTAAAGATTCATCTATTTTTACTAGTATCTTAAGCGTACTTTTAATCCATGAAATATGTTTTGTTTTTTTCTTTATTGGAGCCGACAAATCAAAGATCAATAAACACATAGTATTGGGGAAAAACAAAATTATTTATAGTCTTTCTCTACTATGCACAATATAAGATAGAAGATACCGAAAAAATTGGTTTGAATGGTCATAGTTAAACATTACATTAATAATATTTTTATGAAGTCCATAAAAATATGAACATCATGTATAAAGACATAAAAAAAAACATGTGACATCATTTTGTGAAAACAAATAACATAAGAAAAAAATTATACTATTAAATAATATAGTCCATATTATTTTATTTTAACTGTTGTATTCGACTATTATTTTGATATTTATTCTTGTAAATCAAAATATAGATCAAAATTTATTATTATTCATTTCATTCAGTTTTTATCTAGCATATTTTATATATATATATATATATACACACTTATGTTAAACTATTTGAAAGTAGTGTTTGATTTTTCAAGTGTTTTTTTTCATCTATAAATGAAAATGTCATTATCTCATCATATTTTTGTTCTTAGTATATAAAGAAAAGAGTATTATAAATTATTTTTTAACTTAACGTGAGAATTATAAATATACAAAAATAGTCTTATCAAAAACTTTTACATGAAATTTCTATTTTACTTAAAAAAAAAAAATTCTTTGATGAAGAGGTTCATTAGAAAAAAGTAAAATAAAGATTTGTTGTTAAATAACTTCAACATCTACCAAAAAGTTCTATCATTATAAGGATTTTTTTTCTACCACTCTTAATATTTTATTGAGTGCATACTCACATTAATTTTTCATTGACTTTCTACATTTGTGTGAATTAAGTATTTGTATCATTGTTGGTGCTAAGGTTTCACTACGTGACAAAGAAACATTTGCATATTTAGCAAGAGTAGTCTTTGGTTCAAAAAAGTATCCTTTATTATAATGAACCTTCACTTGGTCCTGCCACAACTCTGATGACACACATTTCAAGTGCTGAAAACAAGAGACATGAAAATATATTTTGATGTTAACCAGACACATGAAGACTTATTTACAACAAATTTTTGTATATATGATGGCTAATACCTGAAAGGTTAAATTTATTTTAATATTGACTCATGTATATTTGGCAAATATTGATAATTATTTCATTTATCATCATTTACATAAATTTCAAAATCTACAAAAGCTCTTAAATTAATATACCTAGATACATATTCACTACACATGAAAGATTAATGTTATCATTCATCAAACTAAGGTGATGCCTATGTAAAACTAGGATTTAAATTAGGAGGATGTAGCCTCAATATGTTCTTCTGCATCGGATGACGGCGGGGGTGGCGGCAGTGGTGGTGTTGACAGTATCCGTAGAGTGTTACATGACCGAATACCTTGTGATTTTGTAGCTTGTAAAGTACTGTATTTCTTAAGCACTCTATCTTTGTTCTTGTTCCACCAATCTTCTGCTTGATGTTCATGGAACCTTCGTTTACTACATAAAAAGTAAAAAAAGAAATAAAAAGATCTCATGGAATTATGTACATATGAAAAAAAATTCATGAAACCCATACAAAATGAATATTCATATTTTCATATAAAAGATAAAAGTACTACAAGATTTATGGAATTGTGTAGTATAAAAACAATTTGAAACATAATCACAATGCATCGTTGACAAAGAAATTGAAAATGCAGAATCTACGGGATAAAAATGTCATTATAGTACCTGAATCTAACCCGTTTGAAAACCTTGACACCAGAAGACTTCACGATTAACGTCACGTATACGCCAGGTTCAAATTGTTCAATGACTTGCGATTCTCCTTCTTTACTTGGCCTTGAAGAATCTTGGGACTTTGAATCATTTACAGAATGTTGTGAAGACATTGATGCTTCATTGTTTGATGAAGATGAGTTGTTGCTTTCAACATTTCCTTCATCTTTCAGTAATGAGCCAGCTCTTTCAATTTCATTATTTTCTCCTATTTTATGTGCTCGCAATTTAGAAGAATTACCATTTGAATCGAGTCTATTAGGAACCTTTTGTTGTCGAGACTTCATACTTGATGATATACATGGTGTTTCAGATTCCGAATTTTCTCTTAAAAAGTCTTCAGCTCCAGCAAGCATGGTTTTCCAATTTTCATCATCTAACACTTCTGGTGGCAGCTTCCCAGTCATTTCCTTCAACTGAATAAAATTAAATCAAGATTATGTGCAAGAAATCTTGATTAATTACTTATTCTTTTAATACTCATCATTTCCGTATCTAATTGTAGTCTTCTTTTTATTCATTAAATTGCTTCATTAAGAACATAAAACTAAAAATGGTATCAAATTATGCTTTTATGAATTTGAATACGTTTATACAAAATAAACATGTTTACAATCAAAATACCAGTTGATATAAACATGGAATGTATAGAGCAAAAATACCTGATTTACGGTAGACTCGAAAAACTCTTTCATGATTTTACGCTTAGAAGATTCGACTGCAGCTAAGGAGGTAACCTCCCTAACATTTCTCTGAAGCTTTACAATTTCTATTTCATGTTTTTGCTTCACATTTCGTATCTGTATGAAAAAAACATCCATAAACATATTAATGATGTCAAATACGTGATGCTTCCAATGATATTCAAAGACATTGTAGTATATATACCTGGTTTTGCAATTTTGAAATGTCTTGATTTAAAAGGTCATTTGTCTTCTTCAAACTATCGATAAGACTTCTAGAAAATCCCGAAGTTCGAGAACGTGGTGAGCTTGACCTTCTTGAATAAGGAGATGATGGTCTTGAAATGAGAGGTGAACTTAGTGGTGGATTAGGAGTTAGAGCAGACTTCAAAACATGATGAGAGGAATTTATTGAGTTTGGAAATGCAATATCATTCAATTGTAGAAGTGATGGAATTTGGGAAGATGGAGACATGGAAGAATAATCATATTTTCCTCCAAACTTATTAGTCATCATCTGATGATATTTTATTGGTTCTGTGACAGGAGGCAGAATAAGTCTTGAAGACTTCATTTCTCCTTGGCCGAATCTCTCTCTGGCATCTATGGAAGTGCGAGGTGCAGTAGTAGCTTTTCTGTGAAGACTTGAAGAAGCAGATGCCTCAACAGCTTTGAGTTTATTATAACAAGAGTCACACACACGATGGGGTTTTCCTGGTGTTGGAGCTAATGCTGCTTTTAGTACCTTTCTTGAACTACAACCATGACAGTGCACTAATCCACAATTATAACAATTATGTCTCTTTCTAGTGAAACCAAATGGTTGTCTGCAACCAGTACAAATAGATTGGTCAACTCCAGAGACCCATTTATGAATGCATATGCAAGATGTAAAGTTTGAGCCACATGAAATATTTTTTACGTGTCTATCCTTCAAGGATTCCACTAATGTCGGGGATTTTCTATCTTCTATGTCTCCATGTCCCAATCTACCATTAGCACCTTTGCCCCATGTGTATAGTTCACTTCTTGATGTTAAGGCTGCAACATGATGAGATCCACATGATATTTCCTCCACAAATTCACCCACTAACTTATCTTGTACTAGGATAGGTACTTTTCCATCAACTAAAGGATTTCCTAATTGACCATTTTCAGAGTTTCCCATAGTAAAGATATGACCAGATGTAGTAAGGGCAACAGTCATAGTGTGTCCACATGCTATTTGGTGGAAATTATATTCAATTAGTGTAGAGACACAAGTGGGTTGAAGGTATGTTTCCTTATTTCCATGTCCCAGACGATATTTGTCACCATCTCCCCAAGTGAAAAGCTTTCTGGATGAGACATTTGAACCAGATTGAAAAGTAACTTCTACAATAGCTGCAGTATGCCATACTCCACACGAAACCTTAATAGTTTTCAATCCACTTAATAATTGCACCTCTTTTGGATATGATACACTTTGTCTATTTCCATGACCCAAGACGCCAAATGTTCCATCACCAAAGGTAAAAAGTTTTCCATTAGAAGTTGCCAATGCTGAATGCCATGTGCCACATGCTATAGATATAACTTGAAGTCCTTCTAGAGGACCACAAACCTTCTTTGGTATCCAATGGCTAACATCAGTTCCATGTCCAAGAAGTCCAACATTATATGTACCATCACCCCATGAGAAAAGATCATCAGATGTAGACACAGCGCATGTATGATTCTCTCCACAAGCAACAAAATCCATGTTAGTAACTGCCAAAAACTCAACAAGATGAGGGCGTCCAAAATCTTTATCAGTTCCATGACCAAGTCTTCCCCCAGATTCTTCTCCCCATGTAAAAACCTCCCCTTGCCTTGTAACCAGAGCAATGTGTCGCGTGCCAGATGCAATTTGTTGAACATCAAGAACAACACTTGACTCTAATGGCTTAGGAATCAATACATCTGTTGTGGAAGGAACTTGAGTAACAAATCCATCAGGTGAAACCCCATCTGCCCAAACCTCTCCCCATACATAAACATCACCTAGTGATTCTATGTCATCTGGTCCTGATCCTGCACTTGAAACACTGGGTGCACTTGACACACTCACACGAAAACTATCTCCAATACTTGTTCTTGGTTGCATATTATCACCCTCTAACCCCACATATGTACTTAACAAATTCAATGAAGACTCGTCAGAAGCCAAATCCAAAGAGACCTTGTTACTAATGTTTATGACAAATCCTAGTGCTGTAGCGAAAGGATGACCATGTTGGATAAAATCAACATCATCCTGTTCAAATTTTACAGTACCTAATTAACACCCTCATGAAATTAAAGATTTGTATGAGATGATGGCTGCTTGAAACAAAACATATTTATAGTTCATTTTCATTATAATCAAGTAGAAAGAATACATAAATTTCCCAAAATGTATTTGTGCAGGTGCATGATCAAATAAAATTAATAAACTGTTCAAAGAACAATCATTTAGCTCAGTTTTTTACTCATTCTATTTTGCTCCATCTACAATTTCTGTACTTCCAATTTTAAAGTATAGACATTTGGTTTCCCTGCTTTAGAAAACTCTAAATTTTGGTGCAACTCACATTTTTGTTTATATTTCCTTTTATTTCTTACATTTTTAATTAAATGAATCAATTTATAATGATAAATTAAATATATATATATATATATATATATATATATGTTAGGTCTAGGATATAATTGAAGCAAATAGAACATATACATTTGAGGCTTAAATCAAAATTGCAAATTCCTAAATTTAGATAACCAAACGTCTATATTTAAAATAAGAAAACCAAAATTATAGATTAAAAAATTAAGAAAAAAAAGTATTTAGACTTAAAAATATTATAAACATAGTTTAATGCAAAAGTTGTTTAAATTTAAAATAAAAACAATTTTGTAAAGTATAATGAATGTATTCGTTCTAAATATAATAAACTTATAATTATGTTATATTTATTAATATTTTTAATTCAAAGCTAATTATATTTTTATAATTTTAATTAGCATTTAATCATATAGTTTGTCATTAAATTATGTTCAAAGTTTTTTTTCTCAAAAATTAATTAACAATGATAATTGTAATCAAGTAACTTTTAATATATACTAAATAATTATTAATAAATTGTATTTTATATTATTGTCAAGTTATAACATTTCATATTTTTATTGGAGTTTAATGAAGTCATGTATGTGAAACCTACATTGGAATGCACATGAAAATAAAATAAAATCAACATTTATTGACTCACATAATCATAGCCTTACTTTAAATTTAAGAGTTGAAAAAATTAGTATTTAGTTGCAAAAAAAAAATTGTCCTTTAAAAACTTCTAAAGAGGAAACATGAGATATAAGAGAGATCGTTGTAATAGAAAAAAAAACTATAATTATAAAAGTAATTTGTTTTTTTTTTTAGAAAATATCATTATATATCATCTTGAGGAAAAATTATGATTCAGTGGATTAACAGTAAAACTCACATAAAAAAGTTGACTTTCAATGCGGCTGTTAAACTTTTCTTCGGAAATTAATGTCTGAAGGCCTTTAAACCATGTCTCTGTCTCATCTCTGTCTTTGCATATCTGAAAATGACAACAATAAAATTATTTTCATTAAAAATGTACATAAAATTAAAAAATTAGAACGCAATATTATTTTTTTCTCACCAAATCGAGTGTTCGCTCCCCGTTGTTATAAATAAGTGAAAATGAAAGATAATTTTTTTCTGGTTGTGAATATCTTCTGAAAACAACCTACAAAGAAATTGTCAATTAAAATATGAGACCTTTTTAAAAGATTGTTGACGTGAACACAAATATCACCTAACATTATTTGTAATACTAATAATTTATGAAAGTGTAGATTACTCACAGTTTTTTGTCCAGCGATAATTTGTGAAACTGAAGATAGTTTCAAATTCTTTTCCTTCTTATGAGAAATCCAAATCAACCATTTTTCATCCTGTTAATTTCACTAGCTATGAAATTATTTAGAAATAGCAAATCACCATGCACTTGTTTGTTTATTATATATACTATGTCTAAAATTAATTTCATAGAAAAATCTCACCAGAGAAAGTCTGAATTCGCAGACTTTTGGCTTCGTTTTTCGACTGTACTTTATCAATTGGGTCCCTTTCTTCAAGGCAGCAAGTGTCTTGGTAAAATTTTAAAATATACATCCTCATTAGTGGTAATAAAATGTAACATCAACATGGATAATTTTTCTTCTTGTTATAAAAAAAAATGTCAATTATGTGGTAGCATCTTATCTGAGATCAAGGTATTAAAACCATGACCTAAAAGTTTAATTTGTCTTTATAATTAATTAGGATATATTTTGGCTTGTTTTTACATAAACATAAAACATGTCTTAATTTAAATGAACAAAATAATTGCAGAAAATAAAAAAGAAACTAACTTGCTCAATATCACGTTCAAGACTCTTATAATCAGCAGGATCTGCCATTCCATCTGAGAAAAATTGTAAGAAAATGGCCAAAGACAGAGCTCAAGCGACAACAGTTGCGTCAAAATCTCCATAGATAGGTACAGTTTGGTCTTTCATCAAAATTATAAAAGTGTAGGTGAAATTTTGAAATGAGAAGAAAACATAAAAGGTGGGTAATGTATTTTGAAGATTGAAATCGAAAAGATTTTCCACTGGCCTTGTGTGTGAATGTATATTGGATCAAGAAATAAGGATGAGAAAGGTAACAAAGTTTCTTAGGAGATGTCAAAAGGGGTTGTGAAATTAGCATCAAATGTCTTCATTCTGGGAAATTTTGATTTAAGGATGGAAATCATAGTAAAAATTGCAGATGAATGATAGAGAAAAAGGATAAAGAGAGAGAGAAGAGGCGAAATGAGTGGGTCAAATTTTCAGGAAACCTAAAACTTAAGAAAGTGAAATACTTGCATTGTGTTCATGCCCACTAACAAACTATACACCTTTTGCCACTTGGCCTCATAAATATCCATATATATCACTCAAGTTATTAATTTGTTCCTGTTCTTTTTTTTTTTTTTTTATTTACATCATTTAATTTTGGGATTATTTTTGAGATACAACATTTCTATATTTTGTAATTATTTATGTTAATTACAACATTATTATTAATATTAATTTAAAAAATGTATTTTTTTAAGTGTGTTATATTTTAATGTGAATAAGTCTTAGAAGTCTTTTTTTTTTTTAACTCTTGTGTTATGGATAATTAGTTTTGAAACCTTTATTATTTATTTTGTAGGATATTATATATGGTCATAAAACTGATATATTAATGACATAGTCCGATTTTATTTATGGTTCATGATTGAAAATTAAGTTACGATCAATCTAATTAAAATTATATATATAATATTCAGAATAATTAAGGATATTCTAATAATATTATTTTTTACATATTAAAAAAAAGCTACTAAAATCTATGCACCTTTTTTCATCTAGTCAAATATAACTATTCCTATTCTGTGAATTTTATCTATTAAAAACTGATAGGAAGAAATTATGTCCTCAGAACCCGTTAAAGAATTAAACTAATCAATAACAAATTTTCTTTTAGCAATTTTATTTAAGGTTGAAAGAAGAATACGTGCATGGACATTTACAAAATATAAAATGATTTTTCCAATCCCATGTTTCTAAGTTATATATGTGTTTTTTTTTATATCTAAAACATGGATGAGATTATTACTAGAATTATCACATGCATTGTTTTGACATTTACAATTGTATAAATTACTATTATTCATCGTAAATCCACTGTTATCATGTATATATTTTGCAAAAAAATTCCACTCTTTTGTCCATATATTCCATTAATCTCCTTTAATCATTATTAAATTGTGTTATGAGATTTTCATGCATATAGTTTAAGAATTAAGGTAAAGGTAATTTATATACATCATCCTCTTTTAATTTATTGAGACAATTTTAAGGATAAAATTGTGATGAACAATAATTTTAAAATAAATAATATAAATAATACCTTTAGATCTTCAGTTAGTATTACTTTTTAAAATAAGAACTAATTGTCCAATTAAAACGAGAAAAAAATGATTTTTATATTCCTTTTTAAGACTTTTTACAACAATTTCACTAAATTTTGAAGAATAATTATTTAATTCTTTTTTTTCTTCTTTTTATCTGACTTTAGTAGGAAAACGTTTTTTTATCTTTCTTTTAACTAAATTCATGTCTCTTAATTCTATAATAGAAAATCCTTAATCTTCTTTTTATCCTTGTCATCTTGTCTTATATGTCTTTCAAGCATTTTGACAATCATTTTGGATTGAAAAGAATCTTTTCTTGACATTAAAATAAATATTATAAGAAGACAAAACAAAAAATTATATATTTTTTTTGTTAGAGTAAATTTCTCATAACTCAGACATTTAGTTTTTTACTTTATGGTAAGAAAAAAGACAAGTCTTCACTCAAACTTTACTAAAGTACTAAAAAGAGAATTTTCAAGTATAAGAAGAGAAAATATGTAGAATACTTGTAAAACTTGTAAAACTTTAAAGAAGTACAAAACTTTTAATAGAATTTAAAGATAAATTAAAAAAGCTAAAAAGAAAAAAAGTTTAACAAAAAATTAAGATGTAGACAAACTCAACAAGAAAACAAATCAAAGAAAAGCTTGAAAAAGATTAAAAAGGGTAAAACTAAAACCAATTAGAATTACCACATGTTAAAATCAAACAAGAAAGTTAACAAAAGATATCAAAGTTTAACAAAATTCACAAACATTAAAGTGATTCAATTCGGCTAACTTCAAGAAAATTCAATAAAAAATTTGTGTTAAAAATATGATGGTAAGAAATCTTTGAAATTTTTATTTACAAATCATTAAACCACTTGTTTATATATCACTTTTTCTTTCACAAACTTTGCTACTTTCAATTTTGTACTACAACCATTTGGATTTTAGTTTTATTCTTGTAAAGTTTACTGAAAACTTATTTTTAACTCAAATTTGTTAAAATATCTCGTTAGGTTAATTTTCATGTTTGAAATATTGTTTGTCTTGAAATTTTCGTTCGTCATAATTTTATCCTTAAAAAACGTCTTAATAGATAAAAAAAATATGTATATAAACTATCATTAAACTCGATTTTTAAACAATATGAAACTGATCAACAAATTATAACACAAATCAATATTAAAATTCCAATGTAAAAATATAATATATTTGTTTACTCTCTCAAATCACTCTTAATATCAAAGTATAATAAACTTTCAAGTAAACGTTGTCACGGAAGAAACACCTCTAATAAAATGATTACCTTTTTCTACCCATGTTTGTCCAAGCATTTAAAAAGGAGTAAAACTAAATAATTAATAAAGACATTGAATCAAAGCAAGAAAACAAATATACCCACGAGATTAGCATATAATAGCTTCAACCAACTATAGAAGAAATGAGTATACAAACATTAATGGATTACTAGGTGAAATAAAATGAACCACATATGTGGAAATATATTACACATCACAACTAATATCAAACATAAACCCCTTGACGATTTATTAACTCTTTTGAAGGATTTGAAAAAAAAAAATGCTCGTGAATAGAATTCATAGTAGTTTTTATCTTATAAGAATAAAATAAAAGGAAAAATTAAAAAATAATATATATATATATATATATATATATATATATATATATATATTATCCTTATATTTTTGTGCAACTTTTCTTTGTGCCTGTATTTTAAAAGATGATTACTTAGTCATCAATTAAAAAAATGAACTTAATTATTTTATCAACTCTGTGTTGATAACAAATTGTTACTGAATGTTAATTAATATTTTAATTATCTAATTCTAAAATATGCATTTTTTTAAATAATTTAAAATATTTATTCTTTTGAAACATAAGTATCTAACACAATTTTTCATTAAATAAAATTAGAGGAAATATATATATATATATATATATATATATATATATATATATTAACAATTTGGATCTTACATATGAAGAGTAAAACTCAAATATTTTTTACCTAAAAATCTATATCTACACAATGAAAACATGATTCACTAATTGAGACATCTTCATTTATTTGGGATATCATTGCCATGTATGTAATTTTACCTAATTTTAGTGAAGCTGGTTATAATTTTGATTTTGAACGTTTAGAGGACATGCTAAAAGAAATTGTTCGGAGGTTACCCTCTTTGCATATATAATAATATCAACTATCTTCTTAAAATTGGGTCAAAAGATAAATAGTTGAAAGTAAAAGGAAGATACAAAGACATCTGTAACGTGCCAAATTAACGTCTGAAAGTAAACAGAAAACGACGTATAAGACAAACATGAAGAAGATTCTCATGAATACCAACTGCTAAATATTTTCACATATTAATAAATGTTGATAAATCTAGTTATATTCATATTCGGGGAATTCATTATAAGTTGTCTGTTTAAACATAAAAAAAAGAATTATAAATTTCACAGACAAACTTAAGAAAATCATTTTTATTACTTATCTTTTCTCTTATGTATCTAATAAAGCATAAAAACAGCTTCATAAACATATAAAAAAAATTGAAATTTTCTTATTATTAATTTTTAAAAAATACAAACACGAAAAAACTCTCGCGCTAAAATTTAAAATTGTTCTTCCTGGAACACTTTAACGTAACGGACGGTGAGGAGAAGTGCATCATCTTAGTAACTACTATGTTTACGGAAATGACTATTGTTTCATTTCCTTCCATGTTTTTTTCCTCTTCATCTTCGAGTCCTTTGAATTTATAGAAAAAATGTTAGAAGTTGAGTGCCGAGTGGAAGGGATTCCCAGGAAGCAGACAGAATGAATTCATCGTAATTAGCTTTGCTTTAATTGGTAAGTATTTTAGGTGTGGTGAGATGTTTGTAAAGGATAAAAAAAGGAATATCAAAATTGAAATTGCGGTAAACCTAAAAAACTGAAGGAGCATGCAACAAAATTAGGACAAGATAAACTAGACGACGAATCTGTTGGGTCATTCAGTTACTGGAATGACAGTGAGATATTATCGGACTAAGCCTGCTTGTAATATTTGTAAATTTTATAGTCTATATAGATGGTCTACTATTGTGTTTGGTTCCAGAGCAACAATTCTTTTTTTCACGTTCAATCTCACCACAATTCTTTATAACTAGTAGATTTCCACGTAAAAAACGTGAATTTTGTGGTGCTAGCACGAAACCAAACCTTCTCTAATACAGATTACTTTGACTTGAGGATAAAAATATACATTTATTTACACTTGGATCATATTTAAGCTTCACATTCTGGAAAATGTGTAGTCCATCGCATCCACGAGGAAATCTGCACCAACAAAAAGAAATAGAGACTATTAGCTACTAAATGATTGAATATTAACAAAAGAGAGGTTTTGAGGTTTAGAGCAACCTGCATCTTCTTTGGTGAAACATAGGGGAGGCGTAATTCTGAATACATTTCCATAATAGCCACCCTTTCCAATCAGCACTCCTAATTCTGTGGTAACAGCAGGAGTTTATAGATTAGGTAACTCAAAACAGAAAAATGTGCCTGGCACCAGAAGGCATTCTAGAGGGGCTGAAAGTTACCTTTCATTTGGTCCATAACATGCAGTGTTTCATTTGGTGCGGGTGTTTTAAGTTGGCGATCGGTGACAAGTTCCACTCCAAGCAACATGCCTTGTCCTCTCACATCACCAATTACTACAAGAGAAAACCAACAAGTTTGGTGAGAACATAAAGCCAAAAACAAAGAGTGTTTCTCACGCAAAGAGTTGGGAGAAGGGGAAATGAAAAGTTCCTGGTTATTTTGTGATACCAAATGCTTCTTCAGTAATGTCCTCGACTCTTCATCGTGAAACTCAACCAAAAATTAGCCATGTTTATGCACTAATCTAGAATGAACAAGGAATAAGGAGTGAGGAAATATTACGTTCATATTTGTCCTTCAGTGTATTGAGCCTCTCTTTCAAATAGGAACCCACTACAAATGCATTCTCTTGAAGCTTCTCTTTCTCTATCACTCTTAAAACAGCCAATCCTGCAGCTGTGCAAACAGGATTCCCACCGAAGGTGTTAAAGTAACTTCGGCGAGTCAAGGCCTTCGCAATCTCAGGAGTAGTTACCACAGCACCAAGAGGAATGCCGTTTCCAATGCTCTGCCCAAAAGGCAAAATTCAGAAACAATCCAACAGTGAAGAGCAAACACTCTTAAGCACATGTAAAACAGACAATTAAGTGTTTCTATTGTTAATATTATCTTAAATTTTTGGCAGTTATATCTGTAAGAGCTATGTAAGATTTGTTTATTTGTTAAGAATCCAGAAACCTGCAACTGGAAGTATCAACGCGAAACCAAATATGCACTAAAACTAATGGTTAAAGGTAATGAGATTCATTTTAGTGAAAAATGCTCTTTCCACGCACACGAGTTGCACCATGTTGGTTCATGCTCTTTGTACATGGTAAAGGAGACAAAAGTTGAATTACCTTTGCTATTGTTACTATGTCAGGTACAACACCATGGGCCTCAAATCCCCAGAAATGGCTACCAGTGCGAGCAACCCCACACTGAACTTCGTCGGCAATACAAATACCTCCAGCTTGTCTAACAATGTCGTAGGCAGCAGGCAAGTAACCAGGAGCCAATTCAACGATGCCCCCTACTCCCTGTCATCAACAAGAGCATCATCAACAAGTGTCTTTGTGTATCCACATAAGAGAAAAGCTAGCAATACAATTTTTTTTATTAGATAAAAGTCACTGAAAGAGATTTATTGAATAAGAAATGAGACTCAAAACCACTTCGTTTTGTGGTTTCCAATAAAAAAGTATATAAGAAATGATGGAAAATACTGTTTAACACTGTCAGTGCATCTACACGAAATGCAGGAATCTAATGCATTTTATATCTTCATGATAAGTAATGAATGTAATGCAGAAATTTCGCACAACACCAGCACAAATGAAGCAAACTAAAACAAAAAAAAAACTGCTTCAGAATACTTTCCGTGAAGAAAACATTTTATGCAATGTCAATATTATTAAATCAAATTTGTTTCATACCATGTTGGATCCGTCTACGCTTTAAGTAGATACCTGTATAGCTTCAGATATGAAGGCTGCAACATTTCCGGAAGTTCCGAAATTAATGATTTCTTGAACATCCCTTACATACTTCTCTCCGTCCGAACCGAAAAGACCCCTGTAAGGGTCTGGGTTTACCGCATGATGAACACCACTCTGTTAGAAACAAAAAAAGCAAAAAGAACAAAACAGCTTAGGCAAACACTATTTTCCATTTTAAACTTTTCACAACATCACAGGTTAGATGGAACATGACGTTTATAATTTATACTTTGTATCTTTTGGAAATAGAAGAAAACTAATCAAACTACGGAAGATAGAATATAAAAGGAGAACAGTGTGGGCTGTAGGGTATTGCATTTGCATGGAACTCATATGGCAATTTGCAACAAAGAAAATGCTAATTTCTCCCATAACGAGAAATGAACTATTTCTGGTGGGGGATATATTTATATATATATTTTTTTCTTCTAATTGAGTAATATTATTTGCGTAAAGGGGTCCATGCTTTCATTATCACCAGAAATCATGGTCACGGCACTTTAGTACTAATCCGAAAGTACTAGTTTCCACAGGAAAGTTTGTTCCAACTACTATCGATAATGAACGGTTCGCTTTCAGAGAGACCGAAGTCCGTCGCCGTTGCTATCACTTACGTATATATGTTAGTTAGTGAAAATACACTTGTGAGTTGAGTTTTGGAGAATAAAAGAAAGAGATAACAGAGTGTTGTTTTTATATAGCTTTAGTGAAAATCTGTTTTAAAAAATATTATTAAATTCAAGAAAAATAAACAATTGATGTTTTCCTTTCTTGCATCTTGAAATGTACAGTCCATTAGGTGGGTGAACTTCGTTCCAAGTGAACCTAACACTGGTTCTCTTCTGGACAAAACAAGACTAATTGAGTTGTGCAAGTAATCTACCATAGGTCGTATTCTTTCATATTTTTAAGAGACCATCCTATTATGTAGAGAAGATAATTTGATTTAAATTGTGTAAGACTGTAATTAGGCAGTTATTATATTTGCAATAATCAAATTTGATATTATTTGCTAACAAAAATGATTGGTTGATAAAAGAAAGGAGGAAATACAAACCTGGCCAACGTTATGTTTCCATATGCTTTGAGCTGTGGTCCCCATTGTTCCACCACCATTTCCATGGTAAGAATTCCTTAGAGATATTATGTCATGGGAGCCGGTGTACAATCTTGCCATCAGAATCGCTAATTCGTTCGCTTCCGTTCCAGAATTAGTAAAAAACGCCACCTCCACATAAAATACCCCCACTTCATTTCTCGATAAATCATACGTCATACCATCGCATTCAAATCATAAATAAAAACTTCAAATATATATCTTATAACAATTATAATACAACAGAAAGAGAGATTGAAAAAATAATGTTAACTAGTTCTTTTTCAATTTTTTCTCATCAAAGAAAACAAATAACATACCAAATATTTTAAACAACTAACACAAAATATTGTTGATACAAATTATGTATTATAAATAAACAATAGTGATATATTACATCTCATCTGCTTCTCGCCTTTCTCCTATTATCCACTACTTTGTGCGTTATAATACTCATGAACAGTGATGAATAAAACATTCATTTGTGATGCAATAATGACATATTTTGTTTTCAACTGAAGCAATAATTGTATTTTTTTTTGTTTAAAACAGAAAAAATAATAGTGGAAGGTTAGTTTTTCTCCGTTAAACTAGTAGACAACCGAGAGTTTTTGTTTCGTGTGTTTTGACAACGACATATATATAAACAAAATGTTTCAGCCACGACACTGAGTCGTTATCATGTAAAACACCCTAGTCCCAAGATATTAGCATAGAAATTTACAAATGAACTACTACTTTTTTGCGTATACACTATGTTTATGTTCTTAGCAGAATCATTATTTGTTCTTATATTTATTTTTTTCTTAGCAAATTATGAGAAAAAAATTATTATCATTATATAGCATAGTTATTGATAAAGTTTATTGGTAAAAATAATAAATTCATACTCGAGATACTTTCAAAAAACGTTAAACAAGATTAAATATTCAAATATTGTTACCATGTACTTACTAAATAATTGGTTGTCATGACACCTGTATAAGTATTTGAATTACCTCATTTTATTTTTTTTATGACTTCCTCAGAAACATTTAAGACAAATTATTATAATTATTTTCAAACATGTAATACTCCATTTAAAGTTTACGACTTTAAATGACACTATATCTTAAGTAATCTTTACATTTAACACAGAACGCTATTGAACAGTTTTCACAACAAAACAATGAAATATCTACTTTAAAAAAAAAAATGTAAAAACACTAAATCATGTTTTGATTAAGATTAGCGTGATATTCACCTTAAGATTACCGGGAAGCTTAGAAGCCAAAGCCTGAGCAAAATCAGCTATGGCGTGGTTCAGGTAGAGAACCGTGGAGTGCTGCAAGCGTTTCGTTTGTTCGACGATGGCTGCGACCACGTCAGGGTGGCAGTGCCCGCAGCACACCGTAGCAATCCCTCCGAACGCGTCCACGTACCTCCTTCCCTTATCATCGAACAGATACTGCCTCTTCCCCTCCACCACATTAAGCTGCAACCTCCCCACACACGATCACACCCCAATTATCAAGTTAGTTGGTTAGTTAGTCACAGTTACGTAACGGAAAAATTTAATAACAGGATCGAACACAGTTTAAGAGATGATCCTGTGCGGCGCGTCCTCACCGGAGTTTTGTACGAGTGGAGGATCGAAGGGCTGAGATACTCCCTGCGCTTCCCGAGAATCTCATCGCCGTCGGGACCGTAGTATGCCAACGGAGAGTAGTCGAACGCCGGCAATTCCTTTGGCGGCGCGATGGCGTCCTTCATCCTCTCTGAAGCAGGCAGGGAAACTTCTCGGCGGGGGAAGAATCGGCTTGCCAGCGACCGTCGACGAAGGACGAGCCTTGCAACAAGGGATCCCGTCATTTTTTCGACGGCGAAATTTCCGGCGACGTTCCTAGAATGTACTACCCGACCCGAATAAAGTGTTGTTTGGGAGAAAACGGAATTGAGAGGCGAGGCGAAATTGAAAGGAAGAGGGATGAATGGGCGGGGTTATATAGGGAACGAGGAAGAGTTGATGACGTGGAGAATGGTGATTGGCTGAGAGTTATTGCAGCGGAATTCACTGCGGTGAAAACAAGGATGTTTATGGATAAATTGTGTAATTTAATAACCTCGGAGTAGTAATGATTATGCTATTTAGTATTCAGCTATTTATTTACCCCACTTTCTTGGTTGTTGTTTTATCCTCCCAAAAAAGTGTCCAATTTTGTTACAGAGAAGATCCCTTGAATTTAGAGGTTGTCATGTTTGCAGATTTATTTGTTTTAAAGGATTTTTGCAAAATTGGAATGCCATGCCATGAGTAGAAATTGGTGACTACAGGTGTAGATTTTTTTTTTTTTATTACTTGGGTAAATGAATAATCACAAAGGTGTTTATTGCTTCCTCTCATGGTTTAATTTAAATTAGTTTGGTTATCATATTAAATATTATTAGATATTTTTGAGAGAATAACAAATGAACATTATCACAAGATATGAATATAAGTCTCATTTATCATATAAGTTTAAAAACATTAAAACAATAAATTATATGTTTTTCTCGTTTATAAATTAATTATTTTTTTTATTTTTATCCAATATAAAACTTTAAAATACAGTTAAATTCTTAAAAAATATAATTTACCTTGGTGATTTCATGTTTTCCGCAAATATTTAAGGAAGGTGGTTTTGCTTGGATGATAATAAATGAGAATTTATTAACATCAAGTCAAACTTAAATGCTCAATTAGCAAATAAAAAAAAGTAAAAAAGAAAAAGAATATAATCCTTTGTAGTTGATATATAAATCACTTTTAACATAATTAATCTTTTAATTATTTTTTAAATATTATCAATGGAGTGTTAAATTAATCTTAATTATTATGGAATGTTAACATTTGTCACTATTCATTAATACAGAACACAGCTCCAAACCTACTCTATACAATCAGAAAATATGTTAGGGAATACAAAAATGTTAAAACAAATAAATAACATGGACTACTATTGAAATGGAGTAGTAAAATTGTAACTAACTCATTGACGTTAAAATTTTATGTGAATAAAAAGCGCACAAAAAAAATTAGCAAATATTAAAAAGTGAACTTCACAAAATTTGGAGGGATCAAAACTGAACTTTATCTAAAATTTATATCTCGTGGAAGAAACCTTTTACCGACACAAATTCAACATATAATCAGATGATTATTTGGTTAAAATTTAGAATAATAAAATCATGAATATATATATATATATATATATATATATATATATAATAAGAAAATAAAATAATATACTAAGATGTATATGTTAAGAACAATTTTGTTTCATGCAAGCCGAAATTACTATTTAGATAAATATTTTGCTTTAATTAAAATCATAAATAATAGAAGACCACAGTTGTTCTTCAAGTTGATTGTTGTTGTCGTATTTAATAAGTCTCTGTTGTTGGACTGCAGACTGGTTTTTTTTTTTAAAGATCCTTGATCAGAGTATCTTGAAGGGTTTAAATTCCTAGTATCTAAATTCTTATGTTTTTGGCTTTTTTGAAAATATTGCTTCGGATTCTCTCTCATTTTAATTGGTATATATGTTTCCTTTTCATTATTTCTTTATATAGTTATAAGATATTAATTTTACACTAGTGCAAAATAGGCTTTTAACATCGGTTCCCAGGGACTTTTAACATCGGTTCTAGAACCGATGTAGATACAACCGATGTAGAAAGTGTGACTTTCCACATCGGTTGTAAAGAACCGATGTAGAAAGTCTAATATTTTTTTATTTTATTTATTCATAAATATTATATTTTTATTAAAAATAGAGTTTCTTAGACTATCCTCTCCGTTTTATAACCCTTTTATATTATATTTTTATTATTTATATTTTTTAGGAATTTGAATTATTATCGGATTAAGAGAATTGTCATCTGTGAAGATTCGAACCCAATACCTTAGAGTCGGAGGTCGATACTCCAACCACTAAGCTACTAGGATTTTCCGATAATAACTTATACATAAATTATATTTATATACAAATAAAAATGTATATCCATGTAAATATATAAATATAAAATATATAAATTTATATGTTGGATGTGAGGACGCGCTCGAGGATGAAAGTGTGTGTCGAGTGAATTTTTAAAATTTGATGTCAAATTTGTGAGCGGGTCTCTTTATATGGATTATAACTTAATGACAAAATATAATCTTTATAATTTATTTATATAATGATATAAAATAATTTTTTTCTTTATTTTATATCATTATATAAATTAATTATAAAGATTATATTCTATATTATTATAAATAAATTATAAAGATTATATTCTATCATTAAATTACAAATTCATATAAAGAAACTTGCTCACAAATTTGACATCAAATTTTGAAAACCCACTTGACACACACTTTTACTCTCGAGCGCGCTCTCACATCCAACATATAAATATATAAATATATTTGTATTTGTATTTATATATTTTATATTTATATATTTACATGGATATACATTTTTATTTGTATATAAATATAATTTATGTATAAGTTATTATCGAGAAAATCTTGGTAGCTTAGTGGTTGGAGTATCAGCCTCGACTTCAAGGTATTGGGTTTGAATCCTACAGGTAACAATTTTCTTAATTTTATAAAAAGACTTTCTACATCGGTTCATCTGAACCGATGTAGAAGTGTTTCTACATCGGTTCATCGGAACCGATGTTGAAAGTCTTGAATTCACTTTCTACATCGGTTCTTAAAGAACCGATGTGGAAAGCTCGATGTTAAAAGTGATTTCTGTACTAGTGTTAACTTAATTATGTTTTTAATATTTGAAATAATTTTTATTTTAGTCTTTTATATTTAAGAAATATTATTTTGATTTTTTTAAATTAAATAAAATGTATATGATCTTAGTTCCTAAACATTACATTTTAAAAAATAAAATCATTTTTTAAGTACTTTTAATTTATTAAATTTAGTATTTATGAACTAAAATTATGTTTTACTAAATTGAAAACATTAGGAACTAAAAACAAATTGTTCCAAAGTTAGGCTAAAAATATAATTACATTAAAAAACTTCTAATTATTTTTTTATACTAAGTTATCTTCTTATTAAAGTACCTTAACTATTTAATTCATTGTTAATAAATATTATGAATTGTTTCCTTATGAATCTTAAAAGCTGAAACGCCTAATTTAAAAACTAAACCTGAATTATTATTATTATTATTATTATTATTATTATTATTATTATTATTATTATTATTATTATCTTCATACTTAATTATTTAAGAATATTTTTAACTAAAATATTATAATTATGGACAAATTTAATTTTAGTAATTAAATTAACTAATTCTTTTTGAAATCACTTAAAAATTTATTAATCAAAATTAAATTATAATATTTGGAAAATTATAATTTCATTTTGTTTAATTACTTAGAAATTGATTTAGGGAAATAATTATTTTGAGCGACTTTTTTTATTATTTAAAATACTTTGTAAATCGAATGTTTAAGAAAAAAAATTATAAGCAGTTTTAAGAGAGAAAATAGAAAAATAAAAAATTGAAAAAATTATTTGCACAAGTTTTTCTATAAATTCTTTTTAAAATTAAAAAATATTTTTTCTATAAAATAATTTTAATCTATGTATGAACTAATTTGTAAAAGTTCTTACATATAATTTATCTAATTATTTTATTTTTAATTTGTATATAAGTTAAATTTGATTTATGAAGAAATATTAATTTTTCTTTAGGAAGGATTTATGAAAATATTTGTTCAAAATAAATTCTAATTTTTTTAAAACTCTTTTATAAAATTTATATAGGTTTTATTTATAATTTATGTATAAACTAATTTAATTTATGAAAAAAATATTTATTTATTTATTTTTTATTTTATTTTATTTTACTTGATGTAAGTGTTAATGGAAAAACCCATCAAACATCACCTTAGTTATTAACAGTTAGTTTATTGTTAAGTAAAAGAGAAAACAAACAAATATTTTGAATTAATAAAAGATGATAAAATTGAGAGTAACAAGAGACAGATTGATGATATAATGTGAAACATGTCCTTACATTTTTAAGAGATGATTTTGATGATGATTCAAGTCAATAACATTCAAAACTCAAATAAGCCCAAGATACGATTTTGATAAAGATTATATTCAACATTCAAGCAAGCCCAAGATTCTTCCTGGAGACTAGATAGAGTCTTAGAATACTAGATATGGGGGTACAAGTTGATGAAGTAATATTATGCATAAGTCTCCAAAGCACAAGTGTGATAAAATTTTGTAACATAATATTTTTTCACTGTCATAATCAATTATAATGCATCAGAAATGGAAAAACAATTTTCTCTCCATCATAATTAATTATATTAGTAACATAATCAATTATAACAGTTCAAATTTGAAAAATATATATGTTTTGAAGAATAAATGTTTTTTAATACATCCTGGTTTTTCTCTATAAAATTATTAATGACCAACGACTATTTTCTAATGTTATTTTCCTATTTTAATGAGTTTTGATGGGAAATAAAAAAACACACAATTACGTAATTCGAAAATACAATTTACATTTAATCAATTTTGAAAAAAGAATTATGAGTAAGACAACATAACACTTTTACGTTTTCTAAGAAAACTTTTTTATACTGTCTTTTGTGTTTTCATTGTTAATCACACTGTATTCTTGGAGGTTATCATTCTACTTGCTTCTACAATTTGTTATCTCCATTACCCATGTGTGATTGCTCTTATTTTTATTACCTTCATCATTTGTGAATGACTATTCTTATCTTACTCTTTCATCTTTTGTGGGTTTAAGAGGTTTAAGTAATTAATTGTGTTTTTTTTGTTTCCT